ACATATTTATATAAATGTACAGTTTGTATTTGTCATAAATAATTTCCGTCTGTTTCTGACGTAAACCGATTGTCAATAGTTGACTAATAACATGTAAAATTAGTGGATGTTCATCTGTTTTTGACTTTAACCAAATGTCAGTCAACATTAGTCAATTTCGCAAAAGTCAATTAAAACTTGACTGCGAAATCGGCCACGATATTGATTAATCACTATGGTAACAAAAACGATAATGGAAATGCTTAGAATTGTTTAGAGATATTTCTTTTGCAAAGATCTCAGCATTCTTTTCATGGAAAGAGAAACAACACGTCCTTCGATCTTTCCGCACGTTTCCAAAGCCAACAACTTATAGAAATATATATAAAACTTACAACTGAAGTAAACGTCAAAAATTGACATTCAGATGACGTTCAGAATATGGTTATTAAACAACATTACGTAATCCCATTCCACGTATATACATATTTATATAAATGACAGTTTGTATTTGTCATAAATAATTTCCGTCTGTTTCTGACGTAAACCGATTGTCAATAGTTGACGTTTAACATGTAAAATTAATGGATGTTCATCTGTTTTTGACGTTAACCAAATGTCAAAAGACTTTTAGTTAACGTCAACTTGAAATGTTAAATTAATCGTTGAACGCTTCGATTATTACATCACATTACATCATTTGATATTCAGTTATAAAGTTAACAAAATTATTTCATAAACAAAACGCATTGATTCTCGAAATCGTTGAATAACACCTGTTTTTGACGTATGATTGACATTTATAACGTCAGATTTAAATTTCGGCACTCTTGGATTTGATTGGATCGAATTTGAGCGAATCGTATGAATGAGGAGTTTCCAGTGTCAAAAACGACGGCAGCCGATTGGAAAACGCGACTTGATTAGATTTGAGAAAGGTCGGAACATTAGAAAGACTGTCGTTTATTTGTTTCCCCGTTTATCGTAATTGTGACGTAACAATTTGCCTCAATTTCTTTCTATTTATATTGAGTATATTTATAGTGAACTCGTTGACCCTGCGTGCGTCCAGCGCTTCAGTTTATAAATAGGGGATTCACCAGGATAAACAAAATACCTTATTTATAAATCAATTAGCGTAGCGGAAAAAAATAATAATAATAAGTTTGCTGTTCATATTGCATTCTAGAAGTCGTTCTCAATTTCAACCAGAGTCTCGTCTAATTCGTTACGCAAGTCGACTGCATTAATCGCGTGTCGACTGCTCGCTCTCTACATATTAGATAGTTTGCATTTGAAAAGTATGATTCAACAATATCATTGCATCACATTCAAGTCTTGTTTTTCATCTACTTTTTTTTCGTTTTGTTAATAAGACGTAAAACATGCAAACAATATTAAAGTAATATGTTTCAGTTGTTCAAAAAAAATCTAAACTGTTATATAGAAACGTCATTTTTTTGAAAGAGTGATTTATGAGTCTTTCAAGGCTCGTTTCAGATAGGGGCAGAAAGAAGAGAGTGAGAGAAAAACGGAAGTGTTTAATTGAACGAATTAAGTTTTCTGTCTGCGGTTTCAACAAATCATGAAAACTGAAACGTAAATTGTGTCTCTGAAAAAATAACAGTTGAATAATCAATTGCAAATAAAACAGCAATAATAATAACGAATTTAATTTTGACATTCGTATTTTGATTGAAGTTTAAGAGAAACAATTGCAAGTCAATTTCCACGGTGACATTGAAACAATTTACAAGGATGACGTAAAGAATCGAAGTAGTGGTTAATATTGAGTCAAAAAACACACAAGAAAAAATCGCTATTACAGTATCTTCTCGTAATCTTATCAATTCTTATTTGTTTTTTTTTTTTCATTTTTCTCAATCACTTTATTTACACGATTCACAGATAATTCTGCTATCGACGATTTCATCCTATTGATCATTTTGGAAAACAGATGTTGTTAACAATGTTTTGCACCAAGTTCTAGTTGTGTGTTTTTTTTTTGGTTTTGGTAAGAGTGGGCGGCATCTCTGAGGGCGGAACGACCGTTGCAGAAAATGAAATCATATGGGTGCATGTGTTTAGCAGATGTCGGCACAACAGAAGTGTGTCACTTCAATCTGCTGTTGTTTTTTTTTCGCTGTTGCTATACTTCTCATCTGGAGCCTCATTAAAAACCCCGCGTAGACGTAACATTCTTCTCCCGTTTCAAAGCAACCCTCCTCAATCAACATCAAACAAGTTGCCATGGAAATCGTTGAGGTTGGCTTTTGTTTTCGCAAAGCGCACTCGGTTATTGCGCGCTGAATTTTCGTATTCTTCTCGTTTCATTTACACGTCCAGTGGTTATTTTCACCGTTTCGTTGGAAGACTTCCAATGTCGACTTTATATTGGACCATCATTTTGGTTACTTTCCAACACACTCCGAGCAAGAGATGCATTTTTTTTGTTGCAAACCTTTTTCATGAAACTCAACACGATCTTGCAAATATTTATCAACCACTGCGATAAGCGTAATCAAGATTGCGATGAAATAAACAACATTCCATGACAACGCATAGAATGATTGCTTTGTGGCAGAGAAGAACTCTATTATAAACAAAAGAAAACAACAACAATTGACTAATAACGTTAGTCAAGTATTTCGAAACAATTTCACCCGCATAATTCACGACCCAATTCCGATAAATTTCCTCGTTGCTTCAACAAAAAAAAAGTTAATAATAATATTGCTTCAGTTGTTTTTGTTCCATATTTTCTCTTCTAAATATCCGGAATTGCACACGAAACTTTCTTCGATTAACTATGAAATACTTGTTATTAAAATAAAACAATTGATTCGAGCAATTTGTCAATTGTTTAGCATTCAATAAATCGAATCTCTCAAGGCTAAACAAGTCTGTAAAAGTCATATTTTCTAAATGACTGAATGTTACGATACGTTTTTTCACTGGTTTCGTTTCGACGAAGTTTGAAAACCGGTTATTTTCCGTGAAGGGTAAATTGGAATTGATAGATACGACGTAAACATTGGACTGAAGAAGATTAGAAACCTGAAATGGATTTCATGGTCGAAGGTTGGGGGATGGTAAGAAACGCACCTGTATTCCGTGCTGAGGAATTTCTTCAAGAGCGCACGTATCAAATAACAAAACAGAAGCGAAAGAAAAAAAAGAAGGAAGCGCAACAGTTGATAAACATTGCAATCTCAGCGATTAATTTCGATGACTAATTCACTGAATGTTGATGAATAATAATGAGGTTTATATTGTGGAGCAAGCGATTTCTTTGTGACGCAGGGAATTGCATTCTGGTGTTCCTTCGGTTGTCACGGTGATTCGGTTACTAGGAAACAGGTTTAAAGTAGTTCGAATTTGTATATGCGTGTGCGTGCTTGTGGTGGGCGGAAACGAGCGTCGCTTTGCAGAAGCTGTCCATTTATTGTCGTTTCGATGTCATCGCTATGGGAAATGTCCATAAACGTTACTAATCTTATCTAGTTTAACGTTCTATCTCATTGTTCCCCGGTCTTCGGCTGCTTCTAAATATACATGCTTACCATTTACATTCCATCACACGGAAACGAAAACACGTACGTGATGAGCTTACAACGGCCAATGCACGTTTATCCACAATACGTTTCCACAAAGTAAAATAACTTAAGTTACGTCAAAATAGTGACGTCACAACTGTCAGTTCAGCTGTCACATTGTACCAACCACATGTTTTTTGGTAAAATTGCCCAATAGTTATAAGTTGGTACACCTTCATAAAGCAAATATCATACTTGTCAAATAAGAATTAAAAAAAAAACTAATTCTACACAGTGAATCGATCCAATCGAATATTTCAATCTTTTGTTACATAAACCGAATGATAACAATTTTATCGACGCCGTTATATTTTGAGTCCTAATGTAAAGTCCAATCCTATTGTCAGCGAAATGTGTGTTGTGTCTCTGTTGTCAGTCAGGCTGTCACCAAGCAGAAATCAATTTAAATTTTAAATGCCCATTGTTGTCCGCGCTTTACTAGTGTCTGTTTATTTTTCAGCTATCGAATTCGATCGAAACGCGACACAAACTCACTTTACACATGAAGCTTATCTAATTCCTAGAAATAATATTATTTTATCAAAAATACATTTAAAGAACAGTTGAATCGTGACTTGTTTTGTTCAAAAATTGTGTTTTTTAATTACTTCAAGCTTTATTATCGATCAATTCAGATTCTAAGCACGTTTTACGCTTTGCATTCTTTAACATTCCTAAATGCGGTCTGTAGTGGAGCACTTTCCTTCCTGGAATTCCAAAACAACTGAACAGAGCGAAAATGTGTTCAACATATTTTGTAGCCTTTGGATATTTTAATCTTCGGATTTAGTCGATGTGCAGATTTTCCAGTCATCGCCCTCACTTTTATAGCACATACTCGAAATGAAACAGTTTCTACTTCTAGCTTTGTTAAACACTAAATATTTACACATTGCGTGCGGTGAACTAATAATGAATGAATGAGCTAAAATGTTATTATAATTCGCGTTTTAATTGTTTAATCGTATTCAAAGATAGTAGGCGTCAAGATATATATTTATAATAACGATTGAACCATGTTTTACACACATTACGAATCGCGATTCAATATGCATAATTCATGATGCACGAATAACGACGCATCATCGTTCGAAAATATCCTCACGAAAATGTGTTTTTCAACCTTACAATCTATGTAGTTTGTGAAGCGAGCGTTTTATCCGAAAGATACAAAAACTTGTGTAAATAAGATAAACTTCTTTTGTTTGCCTGGATAACTACGAAAAGATAATTCGTTTACCCGGATCATCGTCTCCTATAATGCGGGACAAAGTTATTGTTATCAATTCTTCCAGTAATGAGTTTCCTTCTGAAAACCCTGTCTTGTCGACGCCGTTTGCCAGTCACATATCGGTAGGATCATTTACTATCTACAATAATTAAGCAAAGTGGTGAGTGTCAGGTCGAAACCTCTGCAAAACCATTAAATCGAGGGGGAAAAATTCCCACCTCGACCCTGGAAAGCCTCAACCTTTTGTCACAGGGTCTCTCCCCAGTGTGTATGTGGCGTAAATTGTGGATGAACCTCGGATCGGTTATGTAGTTGTGTTTTGTTTTGTTAAATAGAATGCAGCGAGGTATGCATACTAATAATTGTTGAGTTAGGTTATATGAATAATTATAGTTTGATAAAGGGCGGCGTTAGTTGTTAGTACAAAATTGATGATGTCCTTATATACTTCCGTGCAGTTTTGAGCTATAAGGGTTTCAACAGAAGTGGACAACTGTTGGTGTTTCGAAATGATACAAAGTAGAGTCTTCGTCGCCACAGCGTTGTTAGGGCACTCAAAGAGGATATGGTTAATTGTACCTATAGCTCCGACTCAGATAGTCTCAGTCTATATAGATGAGATAGGAATAAGGAATGCCCAGACGTATTCTTGATAGTGCGGAGACTTGACGTTTTTTTATAGATACCTAGTTCTGTGAACCATGGGGTCCTCTTCACTGTCCTATTGAGCAATTCAAACTAAAACCTTCCTTTGGTATGACTGTCCAAAAGGTATTCTTCCTGACATTCCTTTATATTCTCAAAAAACTCAGAATGCGGTAGTTTCTGTTATCAATTGAATTACTTTCAGTTGTTTTTTATCATAGCTGTCATCGTATTTGACAGTTGGTACGCCCTTCATAAAGTAATTGTCAAACCTGTCAAAAACGTAAAGGCGCATTTTTCTTAATTTGTTATATATATACGTAAAATTTCATTAAATTAACTTTTCTTATTGAACTGAAAATAGTAAGAACTAAACAAAAATAGTGAAATGAATGATTCAAGTTGGTAACACGTGGCAGCTCAGCTGTTATTGCTACTCATTTAGTTATTTATTTTTATTTTGTAAATATAATCAATTACCTTTTCCCCCAGTAATCAGTTGGTACACTTTCGTAAAGTAAGTTACGTAAACGTTGCGTCTCCTGTAATGCGAGACAAAGTTATTATTATCAATTGAATGACAGTTGTATTTGACAGTTGGTACGCCCTTCATAAAGTAATTGTCAAACCTGTCAAAAACGTAAAGGCGCATTTTTCTTAATTTATAATATATATACGTAAAATTTAATTAAATTAACTTTTCTTATTAAACTGAAAATAATAAGAACTAAACAAAAATAGTGACATAAATGATTCAAGTTGGTAACACGTGGCAGCTCAGCTGTTATTGCTACTCATTTAGTTATTTATTTTTATTTTGTAAATATAATCAATTACCTTTTCCCCCAGTAATCAGTTGGTACACTTTCGTAAAGTAAGTTACGTAAACGTTGCGTCTCCTGTAATGCGAGACAAAGTTATTATTATCAATTGAATGACAGTTGTATTTGACAGTTGGTACGCCCTTCATAAAGTAATCGTCAAATCTGTCAAAAACGTAAAGGCGCATTTTTCTCAATTTATATATATATATACGTAAAATTTAATTAAAATAACTTTTCTTATTGAACTGAAAATAGTAAGAACTAAACAAAAATAGTGACATGAATGATTCAAGTTGGTAACACGTGTCAGCTCAGCTGTTATTGCTACTCATTTAGTTATTTATTTTTATTCTGTAAGTATCATCAATTACCTTTTCCACCAGTAATCAGTTGGTAAACTTTCGTAAAGTAAGTTACGTAAACATAAACGTTACAACAACAAAATATAATGATAAAAACAAATACAATTTAAGTCATAAAATAATTACTCAATATTTGGTATAGTTATCAAGTAAGTAGAATGCACGTATTTTAACTATTGTTCTGCGAATTTCATTATTTAGAGCAGAATGCAATTTTTGCATTTGAAATATAATTGTTTATGAGAGTTGATGTAAAGTGCAAGCATATTGAAATATTCAAATAAATCATTGAAAACAACAAAGAAACTTTAACAAAGATTATTTATACGCAAAAACATATCAATATTTATGAACTTTTTATCAATGAGAGCATTATTTATATTTTTTGTATTTAATGAAGAAAACTGAAGGTTAAAAGTGCGTTAAAAGTGGTTTATTGTATTTAGTTATTAGCGCGTTAATCTCGCAGCTATTTACATGTAGATATACAGCGTTAAGTTTTAGTTGTGATAGATTTAGGTCGTATTAGATTTAGATTTAGTGGTATGTATTGGATAGGAGAATAATATTGAGGTTTTCTTGTAAATTTTAACGGGATTAAAGAAAGCGGATTTTGCGCGTTTCGTGTTGCGATCTGCATGTAATTGAATTATGATGTGTAGAGTGGGGAAAGGCGTACGCGTTCATCGTTTAGCGCGCACAATTAACAAAATATTGTTATTGAATAAAGTGTGAATCACGAGTAGTGCGAAAGTGTACTTGCTGTGTACGCACACGAGGAAATAAAATAAAACGGCCGCAAGAGGATTGATGGGAGGGAGAGATGTGAGGCAATTAAGAGAATCTGTTAAATTAATTGATCCGAAAATAGCCTCTTCCTGCAAAACGAGAGGACAATAATCTTTCTCTCTTTCGTTTGATACAAATATTAGACATCAGTTTCTAGTACCTGCTTAAAGATACTAAAACCACCGCACAGAAAGGAATGCAGCAGCAACAACTGGACGACCTCGATGAAAGGGCTACTGGCCTTTAAACTTGTTCCTAAACACTCTTTCAAGTGCACTCATCTCGGAAGATGTTCAATAATTAAGATCTCTGAGAGCAACAAGAACAACAACAAAGGATGCTGCAAGGAATCGATTACTTACCGCTAGAATTAGCCATAATCATAGAAAATATAATCCTCAGCAAAGGCACAAACAAATCCACTTCAAGTTGCAAATACTCAACTGCTCAAAACCAAGCGAAGAAATTAATATAAATAAAAACAAAGTATGCGCGTTTTACGGAAGCGACTAGGAAACCCGTTCGTTACACAAGCACGACGCTCACTGAAGCGACCAGACGCAATTACCGTCGTTTCTCTCTCGTTCATCCCGTTTCGGTGGGGGACGGATTTGTCGGAGCGGGTTTTCGAATTTCCCGCGCGCGCACGCACGAGCGCTCTTTATTTTTTTTATTTGTTTCTTTCTCACGGTTCATTCGAACTATTTAGTTCGTTTACAAGTGACAGCTGATGACAGCGTGCACCTCGATAAAAACAACGAGACGATGGCGTTATCAGAGACGACCGAGAAGAATGCTGCCTCAAACGAAGGAGCCAAAGATAAAAGGGAGAAGCTCAGCACCAAGGTGATCATCCGAAGATTGCCTCCGGGCATCACGCAAGCGGATTTCCTCAATCAGGTGTCCCCAGCACCGGACTACGATTATATCTACATGGTGCGCGGGGATATGTCCCTCGGCGAGAACGCCTTCTCCAGGGTGTACATCAACTTCTGCAACCCCGAGGACGTCTACCTGTTCAAAGATAAATTCGATAACTACGTTTTCGTAGACACTAAAGGCCATGAGTATCCAGCAGTAGTTGAGTACTCATCCTTCCAGAAGGTCCCCAAGAGACGCAAAGCGCGCCCCGACCCAAAGATCGCTTCCATCGAAGCTGACCCAATCTACATTGAATTCCTGGAATCACTCAAGGAGCAGCCCACTAATGAGGAGAAACCTGAATTCTCCTATCAACCCTCAACTGAGAACAAGAATGATTCAACAACACCTCTGCTAGATTTCCTCAAACAGCGTAAAATGGATAGAATGAGGTTGCGCGAGGAGAAGCGTGAGGAGCGCAGAAAGAAGGAAATCGAGAAGAAGAAGCTGAAGGAAGACGATCGCAAAAAACGGATCGAAATCAAGCAGAAACCGGCACAAAAGGAAACGGAACCCAGCAAAGCTAAGGAAGACTCCAAAGAAGAAGCTAACGAAAAACCTTTAGAAAAATCACCGGTTAAAAATAAAGATAAAAAATATGAAGATAGAAAGGGGAAGAAGTTTGGTAAATTCGAGGATAAAAAGGAGTTCAAGAATCGCAGAGATGATTACTACGGAAGAAACAAATTCGATGGCGAGAAGAAAACCGATAATCCGCCCAAAGAAACGGTGAAGAAAATCAAAAAGTACAGCGAAAGGCGCGAGGAGAGGCGAAACGAGGCGAACAAGGCAGAGCACAAGAAGGAGAAGGAAGCCGACAGTAATAAGGCGGAATCTGAGAATAAACCGAAAGGTGAGAACGCAAAGTCCGAAGAGTCGAAGCACGATGATAAAAAGAGCGATTCTGCTGATGGTGAAGCAGGAGGAGGTGGAGGAGAGACCAGCAGACACAAGAACAAGGATAACGATCCAAGAGCCCAGAGGAGGATCAGAAACAAGGACAGACCAACTATGGCCATCTACAAGCCTGGCATGCTGAGAAAGAAGTCCGTGGATAACGATGGAAGCAAAGATTGCGAGAAGGAGAAGAGTAATCCTCCGGAGCAGAATTTAGAGCAGGAATGAATGAAACAAGAAGAGAAAAGAAAACATGTTTATTTTCAATAATTTTATAGAATTAAAGTTTATTTATTTGTTTAAATAATAACAACATTGCAAGGATAATTTTTCAAAATATCGGCTAAGCGATCTTCCTTTTTTGAAAAGTGTGGTTAAGTAGTTGTCATCTACCGCAACCAGATTTACGTGGATGTACGAAATTAGAAAAATCATAACCTGAAAATAATCAAATTCTCTATAAATTTGGTTTGTGATGAATAGCGATGCGTATAATTTCGGGCAACTTTAGGGCGCTCCTCAAGAACAACACAGCCCATCTGATTCATCGTTATTTCAATTCGAAGCCCCCATGGAACGTGCTCTTCTTCGGAACGGACAACTTTTCTCTAGCCAGTTTGAAGGCCTTAAAGTGAGAATATTTTTAAATGAAAATCTTATTTATACTAAATACATTTCGTTTGCAGCTCGTTGAACGATAAGTACATTGGTAAGCTGGAGGTGGTGACGAGCGCCAAGAACAACATCGTCAGGAAGTACGCGATCGATGAGAAATTGGTGCTGCACAATTGGCCCGAGTTCCCCAGAGGAGTTTTCGATATTGGATTGATTGTTTCCTTTGGCCACTTGATCCCCAAAGATGTCATAAATTCATTTCCAATGTAAGTTTTTTTGTTATCAGAAAAATTTTAATTGATTTAAATGTATTTATTTCTGTTGAAGGGGAATGTTGAATGTTCACGCCAGTCTTCTGCCGAGGTGGAGAGGTGCTGCTCCCATTATTTACGCTATAGCCAACGGCGATCTCAAAACTGGTGTCAGCATAATGAAGATTCATCCACACAAATTTGATGTTGGTGAAGTCCTGCGGCAAGATTCCATCAACATAGAGGAAGATGTCAGGATGCCGGAACTGCATCAGAGGCTTGCTACTCTCGGTGCTGATAACTTGATTGAAACTATAAAGAAATTACCTGATTGCTTAAAGGAGGCTGTGCAACAGTCCAAAGAAGGAGTGACTTTCGGTAAAATATTCAATTACGAAATTTTTTATACATGAATCCATTTGGAATTTGCTTTGCAGCGCCGAAGATAAGTTCGTCCATGGCGAACGTCGATTTCCGCAGGAAAACTTGCAAGGAAATCTACGATCTAGGCAGAGCCTTGACCGGTGTGTTTCCGTTGCTCGTGCATTTCCAAGATAAACCGGTCAAATTGCATAACGTCAGCTGTTACGAGAGGTGCGAGCATTCCGAAGTTCCCGGTACAATCGCGTTCGACAGGTCCAAGAAGATTGTAAAAGTGTTTTGCACGGACGGTTTCGTTGCCGTGGACAAATTGGGTGTGCTGAACAAGAAAGTGATGAACGCGAGTGAATTCAATAATGGTTACTTAAAGAAAACGGACGTTCGGATATTCAGGTAGCATCGATTTCCCTTTTTATTCTCATTATTTATACTGAACAGCAGCATTATTGAATAGTCAATTTCTTAATCGTCTACAACATCTGTCTGCTCTGAGGCACCCTCAATCTTAACCCTGAAAAATAGATAACATCAGAATGGCAAGTTGAGAGTATCTGTGTATGAAACACATGAGATGTTAACATAAATGCTTACTCTTATGACAATTTGAGAACAAATGTCTGTGAATCGTTGACAAACACAAGAATTAAGAGTTTATTTATACATTAACAAACAAAAATTAGTATCCAGTAATGAGGAGAATGAATGAACCACCAAATATATATACAACAACAGTTGTAGGCAGGGATTTATTTATTATGAGATAAATTAGTATTGGTATTAAAAATATTAAACGAACCATCGTTTTAAAACAACAGCAACAACATTCAGGTGTTATTATTAGTGATATCGTTATTTGTTACACGTCCATCCAGTAAAATTGTGTGCAGAGTGTGTTAGTTTACAGTTTCGCTTTTCTTTCACTCTTTTCCAGCCTGAAACAGAATACAAAACAGAACAAAAAAAAGAATAACATTTATATAGTATACAGAGATGAAGTTTACACATCTGATGAATAGTAGTAGTAAATAACAACAACAACAAAATGTAAATGCAATTTTTTTTATTTTGAAACAAAACAAAAAATATGGAAAAAATAATAATTAAATACAAATTGGTCCAGATGAATAATAAATCCCATGCAGAAATATATAACTTAATTAATAAAAGTTAATGTATGAATTTACCACAAAATTAATAACAAAAAAAAAATAATATTTGGAGTGTTTTTGAGGGATGTCTTTTGTTTTTTAGAGGAAGGAAATGTATTTGGGGATGTATCTGTGGGGGGAGAGGAAACAAAAAAAAAGGTGTCAATTATTACATAAAAATTAGAGAACAAATGAAATCAGCTTAAAATGTCCATTCGACAGTTAGTAATGATACATTTCATTGACTGCTAGATGAGTTTTAATGACCCGAAATTCAGTCCTGGCATTTTGAACTATCATTTGTCTTGTCGGGTCTCATTCTTATGCAGAAATTTGATTTAATTTAATACAACAGACCCGACGACTGTATATGATTGATAGTTTTGCTGTAGGTCAAATTTAGATGATATTAACTACAATAGTAGTTGCACAAAATAACAATGATGATGGGCTAAGTTTACTAATGAAATCTACGTAAAAAGATTGATCTGCGTGCTACGTACAGTGGAAACTAATTAATAATAATAATAACAACGAAGCGATTACAAACAAACAGAAAAGTGTGTGTGTATATATAAAATAATTAATAATAATGGTGCTACTGCGATGAAAGAGGCATTCCCAAATCGATTAAGATTTCTTTTTGTTTTACTTACATATGTTCGGGATGATTCTTGATGCAATCGATGAGCTGCTGTGCGGTCAGCTTTCCCACGCAAATGTCGTGGATGGCCGTGAAGAGTGGGAATCTGCGTGCAAAATTGTTGTGCGTTAATCAAAGGATAAATAAAACTGTGTGGAGAGTCGTCATACTTATCCTCCATTCCTTTGGATTTCAGCATGTAGTTGACCTCCTCGGCTGTGATCGGCCCCTGCAGCTTCTGTCCGTTCAGCATGTCTCCCTCCAGCTCGGCGATGCTTTTACCGGTCTTCACGAAAGCCTCGCTGACTTTGCGGTTGCGACCGCCGTAGCAGGTGGTGATGAGGTCGGCGACGCCGCAGCTCTCGAAGAACGTGGACAGTTTGCAGCCCGGATAGAACACATCCACGAATTTGATCATCTCCATCAGACCGAGACGGATCACAGCGGCTTTCGTGTTATCGCCCAAACTCATGCCATCTACGAAACCGGCACCGCACGCCACGATATTCTAAAACACGAGATTATTATTACTGATTGTTATCGAATTGGGGGGTTGGATTTTACTTTGAGAGCTCCGCAAATCTCGACGGCATCTTCGTCGTCAACAACGACCACCCGGAAGTAATCGGTTTGGATGATGTCTCGGAGGATCGGCGCCAGATGGGAATCTCTGCATCCGATCGTCGTCTCGCAGAACTTTTCGTCGGCAACCTCTCCAGCGAGATTGGCGCCCATAAGAACGGCGCACTGGATCTTCAGCGTGCGCGTTATGATATGCGAGATCAGCTCGATGCCTCCGCCTTCCTTCTGATCGAAACCCTGTTTAAAGAAAAACAACATTAATAAACAAGTGCAATCTATGCGAGCAACTTTCACCACCCACCTTGATCAGAGACAGAGCGATCGCGGTCGGCTTGATTTTGCCCAGCAACGTCGAGCATAGCGTCCTGATGAACTGGTGAGGAACTACGAAAATCAAGATATCGGCGTCTTTGGCCGCCTCACAGACATCCGGTACGGCGACCTGCAAAAAAATTGCATACAATCAAATACAAAAACGCACACTTATATAGATAACGAGTACATGTCCAGTAAATCATACATGTTTTGATTACTATAGTCCATTCCAGAACGTATGTCTACTTAGTGTTTTTGAAAAATCTTTCCTTCGTTTAAAATCTATTACTACAACTTAACTAAATTGAAGCAAAGTAATAACGTCTACGCTTTTGTAATACGAGATTTGCAATGAAGCTCGAAGGTCAAGTTCGTTCTCTGCATATCTCTAATTCTCGTCTCTCCTAAACCTTCAATTATTGTCGATAACAACAATTATATAACAAAAAAATGCAATTTTCTAATGTGAATGTACGTATATAGTAAGGTCGCTCGATCGTACCTATTTTATTCAGTGTGCAGTCCAAGGTTTAAGTGCACACAACCGATTCAGTCCAATAAATACTTTAACTCGAAATAGATTAGGTATGTTGTGAAAACATATCACGTAATAATCAATAGTAAAAAAAAAGCTAACCAATCGAATCGAACAGCAATATTGATTTTACGAGAATCGCAGCAACGATAACAAATTACTTTATAAACCTGCAAGTTTACTAAATATCTATAATTTGCTTATTCTGATTACGATGTGATAATTACATTACGAGCATAATTATTGGAGGTAAACAACATCAAGTTATTTTCTCTCTTGTTCATTCTATATTTAGATTATCGAGCATTCGTTTGCACAACACTTTTCCATGCTGACAATACACTCACAATAATAATTAATACATGTCTTGACTGAATGCTTCAACGTTTAGATTTTGAAGATGTACATACCACATTCTCTGGTAACTTGTGTCCGGGCAGGTATTTAACGTTTTCGTGTGTTTCGTTGATGATTTCGGTCAGTTTCTTTCCGTTGATCATCTCCTCGTACACGTACATCGTGACGCGATCCTCGAAGTTCGGAAGACGCGCCGCATTCTTTCCGACAATCTTCGCGATTGCAGAACCCCTGTACAAAAGAAAACAAACATTACATTAATCCATTCGCTGCTAATTAATCGCTGCTTATTTTTAAATGCAAAAACTTATAAAGTTAGTTAACAATCTAATCGTAAATCTGTTTATTTGATTTCATAAAATCACCTCAATTAAGTCGGAAAACACTTCAAATTAAATAACGCGTTTTGGATTTAATTACAAAATGAGATTGCATAATTAAATAAATACTCATTTCGAAATGTCAACATTATCAAAGATCTATAATAACCGGTTTATTTTTTTCAGGTTTACATAACTAACAAGATGTTACGGTATATCAGAATGCATGTAGAAAGTGCAGTGTAATAAGAATTTGGATAAATCAAATCGTGGAGATGCATTGGGTAAATGTAAATTTCGTCAATAATATATATTACCAAACTGTAGATTTAATTTAAAAGAGAAAAAAACCGGTTGTCAGGAAAGTTTATGTAACTGTTTTTGGGAAAAATTTCCAGCATTAATTAAAATTTCACGTGATATGTCGATACTGAAATGAAGTAGAAAGTGCGCTACAATGGGACTTTGTACTTTTGTATTATTATTTTTACGTTATTTCGATTTATTCGATCATTTGCAAACAAGTCGTTGTAGTAGCAGCGCAATTGCTTTATAAATAGAAGAGCAGAAGCTTTTGCCATCAGTCAAGGGAAGCGCTGAAATAAATGAAAATTCAAGTTCAAGTCGTCCTGACGACGATGTAAACAGATGCAGGCAGTGGAGTTACGTAAATCGCGCTGGCCGCGAGGATCAGGTGATTCGCTTTTTCAAAGGCGATAGGAAATAATTGAAGGTCGGTAAACAACGCGTTGGTAAGAAGCAAATTGGAAGCTGTCATCGGAAGTTAACGTTTTGTTTTGGGGGTACGAATGAGGTTATATTTACGGTAAGATAAAGTGTAAGAAGTTCGAAAGAGTTGGATGTTAATAGAAAACTCACCAGTTTCCACTACCGACGATGCAAACGCTCTTCTTCTTGGTCTTCGGCATGTTGTCTTTTCTGTTGTTGTTGTTGTTGTGGTTTTCGATGATTCGCTGTAGCGTTACTTGCTGCGATCCGCTCGCGACTGGCTAGAATTATGAATACGTTAGCTGCCTTATTAATGTCCTCACTTGTTTTCCTTCTTCGTTTGTTTCGTTTCTTTCTCTATCTCTTCGTACAAATTTTATATGACAAAACTCACTCTCGCCGTTCGAACGCCGCTCCTCTTCTGATAAGACGGTGGGGCGTATCAAACGCGCTCCACCGACCAATCGCGCGTCCTCGATAAGGTCGATTCTTATGTGACCCCATTGACCTCCGGCGTCGGTGGGAAGCGGACATTTCCATGTTCCCGGCCACCGCACTCTTCGGATGATCATCATCATAGTCGTTGTTGTCATCATCTTAATCATCGACAACTCTTCTCTGTTATCGATGCGCGCTTCATCTTATTAAGCTTATATAGGAGAGAACTAACTAAATAAATAAATAAATAGACGACGTTTTGGTCGCGTTGCGTAACGGAATCCTACCATTGCATTGCTCTTCTATTCAAACACTCATACGCTTTATCCCTCTGCCCACTCTTTCAGCTAAATAGAATCGATAAACGAGATGTGTGCGCTCTGTAGATTTCCTAATATTCCTCCGACAATTTCAAATATTCCATGCATATTTCAAAGTGACAATGGAAACATTTGAAAGTTTTAGATTGCTTGATTACATAGTACAATTGTACTATTTGTTACAATTAATTCATTGAACTCTCATCGCGGTCTATTTTTATATTCAATAAAGGAACTTCTCCACTGGATAATTCCAATCGATAATCTCTAAAACTAAATTTTCCTCCATGCGATATTGGACTTTCTCTTTGGATTTATCTTTTCGAGCCATTTGTAACTCGCATTTATCCAGAAATCCCTAGTGTCTAGTTGCATTTTGACCCAATTCTATTTCCCCCTTCAAAGTTAATCGGCGATAAGATTACTCATTCTATTCGATCTATCGAAAAACTCTTACCTTTGCACCGAACGCCGCCAAAAACTCAATTAAATGTCTCGTAATGTAACGTTACCTAGAAACGAGTTTTTTTTTTAAATAAACTGATTCCAAATTCGTTACCCTTAAAGACTAACTAATTCAGCTGCCTAGCAACGTAGCAGATACAAAATGACATTCAGAAAGGTTGTCAAATTTTGCAGAATATTTAATTTAGAAATTACAATCTATATATATAATAGTAAAAAAATGGATACGATAAATTTAATTACTTGTTGCTCGTGGGTGTTTCGCACAGCATCAAGCACTGCTTCTGCAGTTTGATGGCCATGTACTTCTTCGATGAATGATCCGGAGTCTGCAGGTTGGCTCTGTCCGTGACGGGAGATCCGAAGCCGTCGTTGAGATGGTTGTACAGACGTACAGCCTCCGCCATGCTACGATCTTCGTTGCCATTGGAAACAGTTCTATTCGTGGTGGGCATCCTCAGGTTCTTGGCTCGCAGATTAGGCGTGCTCACGACATCCGAATTTGACCGGATCCTCCGCAGATCTCTGCGTACGTTCATGCATTCAGCGTACATCGCCGAGTTGTTCTCCTCCAGCTGATGCAGCTTCTCGCTGATCTTCTCCATATGTTCCGCAGTCCTCCTACAGAACCGATGTAAATCCCTTTCCATTTTCATCAAGATCTCGCTGATGGGAGAATTGGCCACCTGCTGCTTCTCGTAACATTCCTGCGGTTCATCGTTAATATCCATCGGAGTGTCATCGAATTTGACCACCCGCTTCCTCTTGACCCTCGGTATTCGCGAGTTTCCAGACTCGACGAACAATATTTTCCCCGCTGCAAAAAAAAACAATTACAATCAATCGATTTAGTTTGATACAATGTAGAAACGTTTTACCGCTTTGGTCGACATCTAACTTTTTCTTTTTCTTCGGATTGCTGTCCATTGCCAAACCTACACAATTCACATCAATCAGTCTATTGAAAATCACCCCACTCCCTCCATTTATATTACCCAAGTTCCTCTTCTGATTCTCAGCAGGCTCTACATTTTCTGAAACAATTGATTATTTAGCAACGTCATCTGAAAACAAACTATTCGCACGTATTACCTTTCATTTTCTTCCCGATTTCCATGACTCAAGTTTAGCAATTTCGTACACTCCGAAGAAAAAGACACTTTGCGAAGACAGAATCGTGATCTTCGCTTTTTTTTCAGTCTTTTTAAAAACTTAAAAAATGAATGCGGAAATCTTAAAAAAAAACAATTGCTCAACGACTAGTTGTTGCTCTCTTCTGATAGCCAATAAAATAACAAAATCTTTAAAAAGGATTATCAGAGCACTCTTTACGATTTCGCTAATTTATATTAAGAATTAACACGCAATTAACAAATTTCAAATTGAAGCAGCGCCAAACCAGCTGAACTAAATTACAAATTGATAGGTGTATAAGGTTTGTGTCTCGGATTTATTTACTACACTATCTCTACGTCAGGGTCAAATGCATCTTATTGCTTGCTTTTATCATTTTAATTATAATTAAAATATTAATTTATTATTTATTTATTAATTAGTCATATAATGATGATTAATTATTATTGGATCAGCGCTACCTATCGGTTTTTTGAGAATTAAATCATTGTTGTTACCATTGCATATCTTTTCATTTATAAAACCCTCCACGCACATAGTGGAGGTTGGTGGAGGTAGCGACTGCATATCTTCAGATTTGTTTACTAATACAAATATTCGATTTGCTTATAAAATGGCTAAGAGTAATATCTCAGTAAGTTAAATGTAATTGTCATATTTTTAATGATTATTCTCTTTTAGCAAGGAAGCACAATGTGTCTGATGAACCTGAAGAGTTTTCAGTGGAAAAGATACTTGATAGGAGAGTGAATGGAGGCAGAGTCGAGTATCTATTAAAATGGAAAGGATATACAGAGTGAGTGCACTTTACCAAGAAAACTGTGTTTGAATTGGTAGAAAATTGTGTTTGTTATTTTATTATTATTATAGGGAAGACAATACCTGGGAACCAGAGGAGAACCTGGATTGTCCAGAGCTGATTGCAGCTTTTGAGGCTTCTCAGCCTGCAGCTCCACCAGTCCCAATCATTGATAAAATTGAAAAAAGGAAGAATGTGACAGAGGATAACAGACCACGCGGATTCAATAGGAATCTACCACCAAGCAAAATTGTGGGTGCAACAGATGCCAGCGGAGAACTGCTGTTCCTAATGATGTTTGAGGGTTGTGATGAGGCTGATCTGGTTTCAGCCAAAGAGGCGAATCTCAGATGTCCTCAAGTTGTGATAGATTTTTATCAGAATAAAAAAAAATGGTCATAATAATTGGTGATATTTTACGAGTTTTCACTCTCCTTGTATTTACATTGAGTGCATGTGTAAAAGACAGTTTGTCCTTCATCGGCTGATCTCAGTTGTATCGTCGCGTAAGACATCTCTTCGTTGCCACACTTCGGGCATTTCCTCTCCACAATTGGTCCATCATTGGAATTCTCCTTGCTCTTCTTCTCGTGACCCAGAATCTTTGTGACAGCCTCCACAGAGTGGAAGGGCATGCTGTATTTGACTTTCATCCCATTCATAGCTGCAAGTTGATATAATGTTAACTTTGTTAATTGAAGATTTTTTTGACTTCATTACCTTCAATTGAGTACTCCTTCTTGCAGGAGTAACAAACTATGTTGCCCTCTGATTTTGGTAATGGCAATATGGAACCGCAGGCGCCACAGAATCCATCGTCCGTTTCGAATAAGTGGCTCACTTCTTCCTTCATGTTATTTTGTGATGTGCTCAAGAAATGTAAATAAAATTGGAAATGTTGTGAGGTCTCGTTTAGAGGTTACGTTGCATTAACCTTGTACATAGGCAACTTAAGATGCACGGTACATGTATGCACGTAGGCAACCGGATGTGGTTGTTTTGATAATTCGTGAACGTTCTCTCAAAGTTTAGTGATTATAGTGGTCTGTAAGATGTTGCCGGTATTGTCGAGGATTATAAGGACTGCTGGAGGGAGTCAGTGCAGGAGCTTCGCCAGTTTGACGGGGCTTTTGCAATCGCAATCAGCGGAGGTAACTGATGATGCTGGAAATGTGCTTGTTCATTGTATCTTTTGCTATTGCAGAAGGAAAATGAGATGGTGAAGGCTTTGCGAGAGGCGAAAAAGAATCAAAGCGGCAGGAATATATTCGACAGCATCGTCGAGAAGCAGATAAAGGTGGACGTGCTGTACGAGGACGATCATTGCATGGCCTTCAAGGACGTGAATCCACAAGCGCCGACGCATTTCTTGGTCATTCCGAAGACTCGCATTCAAATGTTGGAGCAGGCGACGGACGAACACGAGAGCGTTTGTTTTCATTATTAGCCGCAAACAGCTGATCCCCCGTGTTTACATTGTTGTCCGTTTCAGATCCTGGGCAAATTGTTGCTGACCGCCAAGAGATTGGCCAACGAACGACTGCCGAACGGCTACCGTGTGGTCATCAACAACGGTCCGGAAGGATGTCAATCGGTCTATTATTTGCATGTCCACGTCATCGGTGGTCGTCAGTTGACCTGGCCGCCCGGCTAAAGTTATTTTGTTTTTGGCTAAAAATAATACCGCCTAGTAATAAATGTGGCAATCTCTTATCAGTTGGCACTACATGTTGAGCGTACGATTTTCTCTTTTTTTTTTTGGATTTTCCATCGCGTTTCCCCATCATCATTATTTGTTTTTTGCATTGGTCGTGTTCGTCGCCGCGTCTATTCCGTCGGCTCAATCAATTAAGCTAAATCTTTGTTTGTTTACCATGTGATTATATAACGACAAATATTTGTATGCGGGGAAACCGATTGGAAACGAGCGAAACTTTAAACTTTTGCATTTACGAATAGTGTTACTATTATTATTATTATTATTATGACAGAGAGCTTGCGAATCCATGGAAAGAGCGGCGAGTTCTCTGACGAAGAACTGTAAGTAAACTCGTTTAATAATAATAATATATCGGTCGGTCATTATCTGGCATGTAGATAGAGCGAGAGAGGTACATTGTTTCAATTGCTAGAAAAAAATAATAAAATAACAACAAACAAAAAAAAAGCAACCACTTGATTTCAGTCTGGTGGAAGATGATTATGATTGCTACGGCAAAACACCTCCACGAACCAGATTGCTGAGAAAGAGCAAGGAGAAAAAGAACAGGGACAAGGAGAATTGGAGGTAACACCACATTTCCTTTTGCATCACACTGTTGCATCCTTATAGTTTGTTTACTTTTTGCGTTAAGCTCACAAAAAATGGCACCAACTAAGAAACTAGTCAGTAGAAGTGCAACGGTAACAAACATGTTTGAAAAGCTTATAACCAATGCAGACAATAGCACAGATTCAGAGCAAGGTAAGTGTTTCTTTTTTGATATTACCTAAATCTGAGCATATGCAAATACATATTAACATGACATATTTTATTAAAGGGAAACGTTCGGATAAGCGCAGTATCAAATTGCTGAGAGGCTCTGAGAGAGATCTGAAATTGGACATATCCAGTGCTCAGATGGCAGCAAATGAGAATTCATTGTGCACAGAGGTGCCCACCACACCACAGAGCAGGCAAATTGAGGGCTGCAATCGATTCAAATGTCTGAGATCCAAGCAGGTGGCTGCGGAGAGGAGACAGCCGAGGAGGGCGATCTCCATCAACGCGGTGCTGTCGGGGACAGGACCGATCACGGAGTGTCCGCAAAGCAGGATCGAATTCTATGAGACTTTCAGCATGCTCATTAAGATGGGGTGCATCGAGAAATCGGCACCGGATGCGAGGAATGCGAGGAGACACGTAAGTGAGGCGTGCATATATATATGAAACGCCGATTTGGGAATTATATGGGATGGGCAGATAAGCGGCTTTCTGTTTGGATTGTCTGATGCGTGAATAAATACGTTAGAATTTACGCGCGTACAGGGAGATAATGGGTGTGCAAACAAATCGTAAAAGGATTAACTTTGGATAACCAGAAACGCTAATTAACGAGCAAATTCTAGTGGGTGGAAGTTATTACACTGTATTGAGTGTTATTAAATATGCGTTATCGTAATCGCGTCTGCATTCAATTCAAAATTATCTTCGCTGCATCGATTGTATTCATGTTAAATTATGCGTATTTAAAATTGGCATATGCAGGGATTTTAATTTCAATTATAATTCACTTTTTTGGTAGTTTATTAAATAGAGTAACGTTTAATGCGGATATTTAGATTGAGATTTTGTGGCTCAATTTATTTATTTATGCAATGATGTAAGTTCCTCTAAGCTGCGTTATTTTTGGGTAAATTGTTGGGTTTAGTGGTTTTCTGTGTCCTGCGTATTTTTAAATAATGATGACGATGTTGTTGGTTCAGCAGGTGAGCAGGGAAGAGCTGTGGCAGAACGAGCTGAAGGATCTGATCTGGTTGGAGCTGCAGGCATGGCACGCGGACAGAACAGTGTCCGAGGAGGACGCGTTCCTGTGCAAGTCACGCGAATCCGTCGGTGCTTTGCTCAACAACATAATGACGTACAAGTTCCAGAGGAGGAAGAATCTGACCGCGCAGAGCAAGGACAGCGGCATCGTCGAGGACTGTCTCGGTTGTCTGTCTATGTACTGTCAGAGCTGCATGGAGGCGCAGAACGAAGCGCTCAAAGATATCGAGGATCTGATGAACTGTTTGGAGACGGCTGAGTCTCTCTTCCCATCGAGCAGCGCCTTCGCCGATTGGTATCCTCTGTACAATAGCCCCGAGTTCGTGGGTCGCGTGAAGGCCATGTGCCTATGGTATAATATGACAAAGCATCAACGTCTGAAGCTGGTCATCCTTGGAAGATTGCTGGCTTTGCTGGAGAACAAGGATTACCAGTGGCCCATGTACGACGAGAACACCGTGAATTCGGTGAGCCCATCGGACAGCAACAGCTCGAACTCGTCCTCGATAACGTACGACCTCATAGACAAATCACCCATAGACATGTATAACACGAATCCCATCGTCACACTGGTCAACAAGAAGAGCGATAACAACGCCAGTCCTTACAGAAAGTACATAGAGAATATCCTGAAGACCCGAGGATTGAGCAAGAGCATGAGCTTCCTGGATAGACTTCATAACCACATTTTGCGGAAGGCGCAGATCACGTTGCAGAAACCGAACGACGAGAGCATCTATACGCAGACGCCCGGCGATAATCAGGACGAGGAGCTGCTCAGGTACGGATGCTGCAGCCCCGAAGCGAAATCTCTGAATCTGCCGTCTTACAAGGCATCCTTCCTCTTTCTCTCCGGCGTTCCTCTTGAAGTTGTTCACGAATTTCTGCGGATGAGGTTGCAGCAAAAACCCGAACGACCGTCGCCGCTCAGCGTGCGGCAGCTGATGCGCGAACTCAAGGAGGGCATCAAGATAGCGACATCGCAAAGGGAGAGCATACAGCTATACATCGAAACCGCTCTCGACGAAGACAACGACATGAGAGCCACCTGCATGAAGAATATCGAAATGTTCGACGAGAGTCTGCTCAAAGTGTTTGAGGATTATTTAGAGTACATGGGCACTTGGGCGTTGTTGCAACACGATAGTTTTCAGAAGAATCTGCTGGAAGAGGAATGGAAATTCATCTGCACGTATCTGCGGAACAATCAGAAGGCGTGGGAGATGGCTGTGCAGAAACTGTGCTCGATTTTAGCATCGATGCTCACGAGCATAGCTGAAAGACTCGCAACCACCATCGAGAATCTGGCGGTGGTCATTTCGGACAAGGAGAACGAACAGAACAGAAAGTAATTACTTGTTTTTTTTTGCACAGCGCGAAATTGATAATGTGTGATAATTATTCTAGGCAGAGTTTGTTTGCTGTTTGCCGAGAGCTTCAGTCGCTCTTCAACGATGAACGCGAGATGAGCATCAAGATCATACTGTTCGCGAAGATGATCATACGCAGTGAGATCCCGCTCATCAATGTAGATGAATTCAGGGTAAGCGAAACAACACTTATTAAAATTATAATAAGATTAATCACCGCGAATATTACAGAAATCAGTGGTTGCATTGAAATGCACCATACCGGACGCAATCGAAAGAGTCCAGGCTATCTGCGACATTGCCACGCTGGAGAACTTGGATGAGGCGGAAAAGGTATCATTAACGTCGCGCTGTCGGGAGATTTTAATGCAGGGATATCGCTTCGGTTTCGAGGTATTTATTTGAAATATTTTCGTATTCAGAATGCGTAATTTTATATATTTTTTTTACAGTTTCACAAGGAAATGTCAGAGTTTGTTCCGGCGGAGAAGAAACTCGCTCTCAGCATGGTGCAGTTCGCGCAGCTCTGGATGAAGTTCACTTGCGAGCGATGCGAACGTGGTAGAGGGAAGAGGCCTCGCTGGGCGTACCAGGGTCTCGATTTTCTTCTGACCGTGTGTCAGCCCCAGTACACGGCCTTCCTCAGCGAGAACGATTTCGAGGAGCTGAAGAAGAACATGGATAAATGCATATCGCACGTGATCGGCACGACTGCGCCGACGACGCCCGACTCTGGCTTCAGTTCGGTGTCGCCGCGGCCTTCCTCGCAGTTCGATGGACGATTCCCAAGGAGCAGAGGTTCCTCGCCCAGTCCGAGGCCAACGTACAGAAGTCAGAGGAGCGCGAGCAGAAAGACTAGCGTCGAACAAAACTCGCCGTTGAGCGAAAACCTCGATCACGTCAACTTTATCCCACCATTCGTCAGCAAGTTAGTTGGATAATGCGTTTATGGCGTATTCGAAATTAATCATAACTGTTCGTTCATATTTGTACTTTAGGAAAGAGGAAATACTGCACGAGACTTTGACGAAGATTAAGCATTCGCCGGCGCTCAGATCAGAACGGATAAAGGAAGCGGTAGATCAACTGAACGCAGTCACCGATAAGAAGCTGAGGGAGCAAAATTTGATCGGAACAGTGATATCGAAGGAGCCGATGTTGGACCTGAAGCATATCCGCCGGAAGAACGTCACCTTCTGCTGGCAGAGGGGCATCAAAATCGGACAAGGTCGCTTCGGCAAAGTCTACACTGCTGTTAACAACGATACAGGCGAGATGATGGCCGTCAAGGAGGTATCCTTGCAGCACAACGACGCCATGTCCGTCCGCACGGTTACCGAGGAGATCAAGGTGATGGAGGGCATCTCGCACATGAACTTGGTCAAATACTACGGACTGGAAGTTCACAAGGTGAGATTGATTATCGCAGCCACTTTGCTAATGACGCTTTAACGTGCATGTGTTTGCATTTGGCAGGAGGAGATGTTGATCTTCATGGAGTTTTGTCCGGAAGGCACGCTGGAAAGTCTGGTGGCCGGCACCGAAGGCGGTCTACCGGAACTGCTGATTCGCAGATACACCTTCCAGCTTCTGAGCGGATTGTCTGTGCTGCACGAACACGGAATCGCTCATCGCGACATCAAAACGGCGAACATCTTCCTCTCGGAGGAAGGCAACTGCTTGAAGATCGGAGATTTCGGGTGCGCCGTCAAGATCAAATCACACGTGACGATGCCTGGCGAGTTGCAAGGATTCGTCGGAACGCAAGGTACGTATCCTATTACGATTAAAATACGTAATTGACATTGTTAATTTTCTATTTAGCTTATATGGCCCCGGAGATGTTCATGAAAACGTCTATCGACGGCCACGGTCGCGTCGCGGACGTCTGGTCTGTAGGATGCGTCGTCGTGGAAATGTCTTCCGGAGAGGTAAGTTACCATTGACGTAAATTGATCGACTGTTGACTGATTGCGGGTTTTTTTCTTCTCTATTCTTGTAGCGACCTTGGGCGGAATTCGATAACAACTATCAGATAATGTTCAAGGTGGGATTGGGTGGGAAACCGGAGGCGGCTGACACACTCATCGACGAAGGGCACGACTTCCTTGAGCTCTGCCTTCGGCACGATCCTCTCAAACGAGCCACAGTACGCGAATTGCTCAGCCATAATTTCGTAAAAGTATGCGATGATCTTTGATTCCCTCAGTCATCATGATCATTTTCGTACATATCTTAGCGCGATCAATTGAAATCGACTCATCTCGATCATTTTAATTTTATACATAATTAACGTTTCAGTTGTGTTACGTTACTTTCTTATCGACTACAAATTATATTTTATACGAAAACCAGACAGACCGATGCACGCATAACATTTAGGCAACTATTTTAATTGTAATTAAGACTGAACTGAACTCGAGTTCTCTGTTTGTTTGTTTTGTACATACATATATATATATGTAGAAATTGTGATACTGATTTTAAATTTTATGTTATTAATTTTGTTTTGGAAGCGGTGCAGGATGCTGAGTAAATAGAGAGAGAGAGATAGTAGTTCGCGAAGTCCATAAATAATATATTTGTTTTTGTTTTTTATATATAAAAAAGCGACCACTATGAAATTTTATTCTTGTTGATAGTCTTTCCACTTTGAAAGAAGAAAGGAAGGAGGGACGATTTTAATAAATGTAAACAGCCGAGCAGATCGGAATGTTTAGTTGACACCTAATTTGTGTTTTGTTCTTATTCAGGAATAGAAAACTCACCACACCTTCTCTCCCTCATCGGTCTCCCAATGAATGCAACAAAAAATAAAACTAATTATTAGATCATGAACACGGAACAATGTATATAAATAGCTGCTGTGATTTATTTCTTCGTGCGTGAACTTCCTCCTTCTTGTCCGTTAATTCTGCATGTCCTCGGTAACACGATGTGCCTGCCGTCGTTTCTGCCCAAGTACTCTTCGAATTTGTCCAGCAGCTCCTCTTTGTTGACCCTAGTGCCGGTGTCTTCGTCGCAGTAGCACGGGATGAAGATGGACACTTCTGGGCAGCCGCAGATCGGATGCAGAACGGCCACGTAACCGGGTCCGTTCTTGCTCGCCAACACCTGCAGCGATTTGATGGAATCCGCACGGAAGTCTTTACATTTGGCCGCCTCCTCCAGCATATCGGTAAAGTAGATCTTGGCCTTCTCTCTGCCGCCGCTGCCTTCCGCTGATCAATTCAACAATTAACCCCGATTTTACGTATCTCTTTGCACAACCGCATACCGATTTTCCTGTGCGATGAGTGTTTGTTCTTCCTCTTCTTGCAGGAGTCCACCCTCTTCAGCGACGAGGTGATCGATAGGCGTTGCGAACTGTCTGACGCAGAAATAGATGGAGTACAGTTCACCGATTTGGATGACTTCTTTGCATCAAAGTACACTTGCCAAAAGTCTTCGACGCTCATGTTGCTCTTCTCGAACGCCTCGATGGCTCCTTTCGTTGTTATGAGCTTCTGGAAACTGGCCGACATCTCCGGAGATTCCAACAAGCTACTGAACGAGTGCTGCTTGATCGTCCGATCTAAATTGTAAGCAAATAAAATTTAAATAATTTCGTGTATTATGATAATGATGATGTAATTTACCTTTATTCTTTTCTTCGTGCTCGTAGATCGTTCCCAAGTTGGCGCTGTTATACGAATACATGGATTGGTTTGTGGGCAGTGCCGAATTTACAGAAGAGTTGTCTGTTGAAAACGGAACATTAATGGTGGGTGGCGAGCGATCGTGATGAGCTTACGTTTCTTGCGTCGAACCTTGCCGTCGGAGCCAATTTCGTAGATGCCGCTCAATGTTTCCGCGTAGTTTGCAGGTGAGAGAGAGCTTGTGTCCGGATCCCTGGCGTTCTTCATCCTCTTCTTTTTCTTCTTTTTCCTGGTCGTCGACGTCCCAATCTTTATCGGCAGCGAATTGGCGCTCGGCTGATAGATGTTGTTGTTATCAATTCTGCCGAGCGCCTCGAAATCTGTCTGACACCGTCTGTTGCGGGTCCTCTTTTTTGGACGTCTACCACCATCATCATCATCGACATCGTCTTCTTCGGTTCTGTGGGCAGAGGAGCCCCTGCGGAACAGTAGGTTCCAGAGTTTGGGAGGCACTGCCACGGTCGAGGTGAATATGTGAAAGAATCGCACCTCGAGTGAACGCGGCACGAAGTAATCGATATTGCTCGCGAAATTCTCCTGAAAATTGGTGTAATATTCAAAGATGGTGTTGTTGTAAATGCGGCTGCTACCGGCCTCCGGCTGCTGCCTTAACATCATCATACATTTCGGAGTGCGAACGATCAGCTTTTTGATCGTTCTCAGATCAGAATTGGTGAGGGGCAGCGAATTTAGGCTCGCGTGGTACGGGTCCTCGTCGCAGCAGACCTCGTTGATCACCGCCCTCCGGCAGCAGCGAGCTGGCTTCGATATCTCGATCAGATTGTCGACGCCGACGGCGATCAGTTTTTGCTTGATCCGAAGCTTCGGATAGTTTATAGCGTGCGTCGTCATGTTCGATTTGAGCTTGTCCACCTTGATGCGCATCGCCGAACAGACGTTCACATGCGGTAATGATTTTCTGTTGCAGGTGTACGGTAATGAGACGACGCTTCCATCGTACTCGAGGAGATCGGTCACGGTCAGATCGTTGCTAGAATCCTTCCATCTGCAGCGATATCTCGAGTTCGAACTCCTGAGCACCACCTGATCGGTGTCCTGAAGACGCGTCTCGTAGAACGGCTGCTCCGTGACGGCCGAATGGGCCGAGGAACGAACGCCGCGCGACGTGCAACTGCACTGACCCTTGCTCTTCTCCACGGCGAAACTCTCGGCAAGCAATATATCTATGGTATCCTATGGATGACAAAAATAAAAATATTATTGGAATGCTATCAATCGAATTATCGATGCGAAAGAAACGCACCTGATTCATCTTGACGATGACTGCGACGCCGTTCAGTCTGGCATGGATGTGCGGGTACATGTTGACGTTGCAGCAGGGTCTGGTGTTTCCGGGCGTCGTGTCCACCTCCAGCTCGGGATTGTCGATCTTCTTCAGGATCTCCTTCATTTCAGCCAACTCCTTCAAGCAACCCAAGATCTCGCGCTGCGTCCTCAAAGCGTCTTCGAACGTGTACTCCTTGTTATCTGCGAGCGACTTCTTGGACATACTGGGAGCTTTGCTCATTGAAGTATCCGATTTCGAACCAAAAACGACCACGTCCCCGTTCTGCGCGATGTTTGTCTCGGAAATGGATTTGTACGTTCTCTCTCTGATGTAATCCAACGCGACCGATAGTTGCTGGAACAGCTTTTTGAATCTCTCCACGTCGGCGGAGTTCGTGGGCGTCGTTTCCACCGGACCCGGCGCCATCACAGGTTGCATCAACTTGTACCGCACTGCCTCTTTTCCCAGATCCTCGTATTCATCCTCAAACGTATCTCTTTTCTGTTTCATAAATTCGCTCATATCGGCCGTCGTCTCGGTCGACGGATCATTCGTTTGCTTCGTCTCCATCGCCGTCGTCTCCTCGGGTAACGTGATGCCAATATCGTCAATCTTTGATGAGGTAATCGGCGGATTAAAATTGATCTCTTCGTCGCCCGAGGGCACCACCTCAAGCACTTCGGAGAGTTCCGACTCTGAGTCGGGAATCCTCAAGGCAGGTTCTACGGTCAACGTGCGAAGATGGCTCTTCTTAATCGGTACCGGGATCTTCGTCGTTTTGAACATCGAGATGTTACTGTTTAAGATTTGATCGCGAACTGGAGTTTCCAGCATAACCGATGGAACCGCCGCTGGCGCTTCCACTGTACTAGGCTTCTTTTGAATCGTCATCTCTTCATCAACATTGTTTGGCATCGTCAACTGCGTGATCCTTGAAGCGCTTCTGCTAAAGTTGTGCGTTGCAGTCTCCGACATTTGCGGATGCGGCGTCTCCTCGAGCTGATGTTGCGACGCCTTCATCGCGTACACCTCTTCCTCCTTCTGGCCGAGTTCCGGGACTTTGCTGGCCGTCGCTTCCTCGCGTAACTTCTTTATAGTCTCCGTGATCAATTCGTGCAGATCGACTAACTTCTTCATGAGATCGCGATCGATGCTGATTCGATCCGCAACTTTGTCGATCTGCTGCGACAGCTCGCCGAACGGTATGGATACTGTATTGACTTGCATGGTTTCCTGCAGCGGACAAGGCCACACGTTCGTGGCAATTTCGTTGACGATCTCCGAAGCTTTCAGCGCTTTGGCGTACTGCACGCGCGATATTGAGCAGATCGCCGAGTTCGATTCTAATATCTTCTGGAACTCTGATTCCGTGTAAGAAGTTGCCTGGCTGATGATCTCATCCAATACCGGAGTAACGTACTTGTAGGCTAAACGGAGATCACTCAAATCGCACGACTGCTTCATCACAACGTTGAAACGTTTACTGCTGTTCGGCTCCACCAAATAATAATGATTAGTATTGTTGTTGTTGGTTGGTTTCCTGCTGCATTTCTCAACCTTTTTATTTACCATTGTCTTCCCGCTCCTCCGGTCTTCTCATAATAATAGCATTCACCAATACACTGATAATTTTGTCATTTTGTCACCTCAAACGCAACAGACAGACAGACGCCTCTCAAACGAATGTCAACTTTGAGAGTTGGGTAATGGCACTCTTTATTAATACGAATCGAATTACTACAGATCGTTATTGAGGTCATCATCTCCAAACTCGTCAAGTCTTTCAAAAGGAAACAAGTTATCATTATTAGCTGCGTGCACGGTCAATACGTTGACATTGTTATTAGCGTTAAATTCTTTGAACAGAGACAAATCGTCGCTGTGCACCGTTTCTATGCTGAAATTCTTGCACAGCCTCTGGATGTTCGGCAGTACTTCGTTCCTCAGCAACACCTTCAGCTGTCTTATCTCGTTGTTTATGTTGCTCGGCATCTCTTTCCTTTCAACATCCTTCTTCTCTCTCTTGGATTTTTTCCTCTTCAATTTACTGAATTGCGCCTTGATCTTCTTCGAGATCTTCAGCAGAAATCCACGTTTCATCGATCTCTTCGTCTTGTTCTTCAGCTCTTTGCTAAACTCCTTGACCACAATAAAATTCCTCTCCAGAGCGTTATGCGTGTCCTGACTCAAAGCGCGCATCCTCTTCTGCTCCATGTACGTTCGACTCGGTGGTCTATTTTCCACCTTAAAATCCTCCACCTTAATGATTTCGTCTTCGTCCACCACAGCCGCCTCGTCGTCGACGGCCTTCCGCTTCGAAGCGCAGATCTCGCTGCAAATCTTTTTGATCGTCTCCAAAGTGTTATTCCTATGCGAACACGTCCTCCTGCAATCCATTATCAAACTGTCCGACGCTCCTACAGCAGTCTGTAGCTGCGGAATTATGGTTTTGTCTAGGAGATCATCGGAACTGTTCATCATGTATATATGTTCGTTCGAATTGTCCAGCGGAAGAGCATCGATGATCTCGTTGATAAGCTCGCGAAGATCCACCAGATACTTCATCAGATCTTTACTGACGAACATCTTCTGCGTACGCTCCATGATGCTCTCGGTTATCTGCGCCACGTGTAGCGTGGATTCCGTGCAAAAGTCACCTTTTCTTGGTAAGGATTGGAACTCGCTGAAAGCCTGCATCGTCAGCTTCGAGGCCATCCGGATCTTCGTCTGCGATTGCTGTGTGAGTGCGCATATCGGTGCGTTTTTGGCCAAGATCTGCTTGAACTCTAAACGACTGTAGCTTCTTGCCTTGTCGACTATATCGTCCAGCACAGAAGACACGTATACTTTGGCCTGATCCAATTTGCTGGTCAGACGTGTCGTCTCCTGCCCGAAGATGAACTCCAACGTCGACGACGATGCCGACCTCTCCGAAATGCCATCATCCTCATCGTCTTCAACGGAATCATCCCACATTATCTTAATTTAGCCATCATAAATTTGATCTTTTCTTTTTTCACATTTGATTTTGATTAATCCATCTTTGTCATTTATTTTTATTTTTTTTTTGGCACTTTCAAATCAATGTCAAAGTTCAACTATTTTATTACAGAAAAAAGTTTTCTTTTTGCACATTTAATTGATCAAACAGGAACTAATCGATATAAGAAAAAAAAAGAAAATTTTAATATTAAATTAATTTGATCTAACATACAAAAGACAAACAATTGTTAATTAGCATTGAATATTTTTAAATCTTCCTATAAAATGGATAAATCAGCGACTAGCGACGATATATATTGTAGAAGAAATAAATGATTATAATTAACTAAATTTTTAAAATTTTGTGTCCACCCTGTATATATATATATTTTTGTATTCTCTTTTTCTTATTCGTTGTCAACTCTGTATATTAAGGATTAAGAAATCCTTGGACACCGTGGATTATGTCGTTGCGGAGTCTTAGAGGGGTTTAGGAATATTAAATGCAATATTCTTAATTAGTTTTATTGTATACATCGGAGTTTTTATTGATAGTTGATGAATAGTTGATCTCATGGATTATTACTAAGAGTTACATTATTCTCTTAAGTTAGTAATTGCTCTTCGGTGGACTCTCCAAGCAAGATCTAAGTTTTATGATCCTACCCAAATATTAGGGGCTGAAGAAGGCTGTAAGTGGCGATACAATAGACGCAACTATACGATTTAATGTGTAACCGTCGTTCGGAATATTATATAATATAATACGTTAAATATGATTTGTAATAATTAATAAGAAAGTGGTAGACCTAACAAATATACATATTAGTTATACAATAGATGACAATAAATTGGTCGGCCACGACAATATATATCATATTTGAAAATGAAGAAAAAGTTATTAATTTGATTGCTTGGCTTAGTCCCTAAGCAAAATTTCCGAAAACTCGAAACGAAATTTCGTTATTTTAGAGAGGGGTGGAGGGTAACAATGAATGGTGTCTGCTGATTCGTAAGAAAGATGTGGAAAGTTTGTTAGAAAAAAAATGCTTGTCTCCTTCGAATCGCGGCAACCGGATTCCTCTCAATTGTTTCTAGATTGGGGCTGATATTATTACCGTTGCTAATAGCAATAATAGTAAATAGTAACAAATAACGATAACAAGTAGCTGTAGCTGTAGGAGAGACAGTTGAGCATCGTTGGTGGTAGCGTTGCGTTGTTGATGAGGCGGTGAAGTGCGGTGCGTTGCGGGACGTAGCATCACAACAAAAATATACGTTAGTGTTTTGGGTGCTCGGGTAAAGTGATGATTGTTTTTTTTTTCTTCATCAACATCTATATACTATTATTATTGTGAGCGCGTAGTGTATTTATTGTGCTCTTTGTATGTGAGATGAGTGGCTTCTCGTAGGATGGACATCACGAAGACTCAATTCGCGAAGCTGGTGCTCGGTAAGTGCTCGTCGCTTTTGTTTCTGGGGGCGCCCTTCACTGCCGTTGGCGGGAAATCGAGCGACCAGAGGAAATCCCTTTTCTTCCTTTCACGAGATAACCTAAAAATATATTATAAACCGTTGGACATTTATTAACGAACGGTTACATTTAAACAACGAACTGTTCAGCTAACATTTTAACACTGCAAATGCAGACTTTGCAAAGGTGACGATGACGACGACTGCTCGTGTCTAGACAATCGCATTTTTTTCGCTTATACTTGCAATTTTGTTTTGTTTTTAAATTAAATTTTGCTATTGTTTTTGTTTCTGTTCCTTCTCCTGCTCTTGGACAGGCTACTTGAAAATTGAGCAATGCCATATCGCATACAATACCTTTCTGAGCACATCACCCTACTTGAAAGACTATGTGAATCCCACCAAACGGAGACATTTGGTCACGAGGATCCAGGGGCTAAGCCTACATGATATCCTAGAGGAATTTTCAAAAATATACACAATAAGTAAGTTTAGTACAACATGTAAAATGTTCAAACTAGAAGGATACTTCCTAAAGCCGATATTTCTTTTTTAGTTCAGGAACATTTGGAAGATACAAACTACTTCAACGAATCCAATCAAAGTCATTTGCTTCATGATCAACTCATCTACCTGTTAGAGGTCGACGTACCTACGCGTCAAAGCTCGCCGCAAAGGTACAAATATATTCGATTAATAATTTTGTGATTGAATGAATTGTATTGAAGAATTGATTTTTTCTAGTTCAACGTCAGTGGAAATCATTCCGAATGGTTCTGAAGATGAACTGGTTAGTTCTTCGCCACCGAAGAAGCAGATCTCTGGGAGCGAAGGAAAGTCCGATTTGGACAAAACGGAGGATTCGGAGGATAACGGGACGCATCTGTCGATCCAGGCGATCACGGACACCCTTCTGAAGCATCCGGAGTTTCAAGAGAAGATCGCCGAGAATATTAACAAGGTGCGTCTGAGCGATGGAGCTCTCGATACGCCTGAGAAGCTGCAGAACGACATTGACAGCGCCATCAAAGCCGTGCTAGAGAAGACCCAGAATGATCCGATGTTCGAGACGCTCATGGGTGAAATCATCGGTAAGAGAGATCATCGGGTTAATTCCGATTCGAATGTTTCGTATCTTATTTATTTTTGTTTGCGTTGGCCTTGCAAGGTACAGCCGCTGACGAGGAAATGATCTTCAACAACGAGATTCAATCTCCGCCGTCAGAAGAGCCGCCGCCGCTGACACCGCTATCAACGCAGCCAAAGCAGCCCCCACAAACCGAAGCATCCATGGAGACGATAGACGATCACATCAAGGTTGCCGTTGATTCGATAGTGACCGCATCGCAGCAGCAGGTCAATAACTCGCAATTTGCCGACAACAGCAGCGGCAAGGCCGTAATAGACATGAACAAGAGGCTCACCGTAAACACGAACAACGATATCATATTCTACGATGGAACAATCGACAATTACATGCAGCAACAGCAGCAGCAGGACAACATGAATCCTTCGCCGGCAGTGCCACCTCTCGTCCTCAACAATTTGCTGGTGATGACGTCCACGCCCTCGCACCAGGTCAACTCGGTCGATGCTACTAAACCTTTTTACCTGTTTAGCGGATCGCCGTACGTGAATGTGGCTCCAACGCAACCGTATTTCGTGTCAAACAAAGTGTTGACGGAAAAGGACATTCTTTCGATGCCCACCGTCATCCTGAACGATGATAAAAGCAAGAATACGGAGCCGAAGTCGACCAAGAAGAAGTCCGAAGACGCGCTGAACGAGTATCTCTCGTTCAACAAAAGTAAAGTCGAGCCGAAGGCGATAATTCACGTGGAGGTGCTGCAGGAGGATGATGATAAATCGACGAAGGAACAACAAGAACAACAGCCAAATACGAACGAGCAGAATGCTGCAAATCCTCCCACCTCTGACACCGCGAAGAGGACGCCGGAGAGCAAGGGAGGTGGAGGAGGAGGCAGCGGTCGAAGAAGCGGTGTATCGACTCCGCGAAGCACAAACAAATCGCACGTAAGAGCGCTGGATTTCAAGTTCCAGACACCGTCAAAAGATGTGGTCGAAGTACGAAAGACTTCGCCCAAAGTATCGACCGCAAAGTCGCTGTTCAGTTCCGGCACCAAGTCGAAATCGCCGAAGAAGAAGAGAGCGGAAACGAAGAAATGCGGTGTTGGCAGCGGCAGAAGCTGGGATGCTGATTTGCGTGCGACGTTGCCCGATTTGGGACACAATGTGAAGAAGAAAAAGAAACCGCCGCCCGCCAAATCGAAGCCCAAACCGAATCTAAACAGGACCGAGGAAGATGCGAAGCAAATAGAGAATAATTTGCATTTGGGCGAAAATTTGAAAGAAAAACTACCACAACCATCGGAAAAGAAGAATGGATGCAGCGTCGATTTGCAACAAGAGCAACAGCAGCAACATAAGAACGCTGTAGAGGTGGCGGATGTAGTGAATACAATGAAGGAAGATGAACAGGAGAAGGAAAAGGAGCGATTGCAGCAGGTGGAGAAAGCTGAAGAGGAGACGTCGCAGAAGAGGCAACAGCAGCCAAGGGGAAGAAGATCAAGGAAGCAAAAGTCTGCCGGTAAAGCGAACGTGACGGTGCAGATTATTGAGAGCGAGAATCAAGTGCACGAAATCGCGTTGCGCAATTTCAATGCGAAGCCCCGTTTCCATCGGAAATGCAACATCGAGAATAATACCAAGTTTAAACCTATTCCAGATAAAGAGGTGGTGTCCGTCGGCGTCGCCTGCACCCCCTTGATCATCGCCACGTCGCCGACCGTCGTCGATGTAGACAGCAACAGTCTTCCTGTCCTCTCAATTCCGGACACGAGCAGCTTCGCCACTCCCGAAGCTCTCAAAACCGTCGTGACCGAAGCGGCGAAACCCATCTCCGCGGGTCGCAACATCATGCCCATCCTGGAAACCCCCTACAAGGAGGGGATCTGCCCGAAGACGCCCGGACGAACTCCGATGTCCACCGTGGAGACCCCCTTCACGAAAGTCTTCAACGAACAGATGGAGGGCATCGACATCTCGAGCATACAGACGCCACAGCTCACGCCCTTCCCAATTACCCCGTTCATCCACGGCGAAACTCCCTACTCAAATCGACCTACCGATTATTCCACTTCCAGTTCTTACTATCAACCATCAGATACGGAGCAAAACAAATCGCTGGAATTGCAGATCCTCGAAGAGTGCAAACGACTGGAGGTCAAGAAAACACCGTTGCACCAATTAGAGGTTGATAAACAACCGCCGCCGCCGTCGAGTCCACCAGCACCCGAAGAGCAAGAATTGTTGAAGAAACAGGACGCCGCTCACAGGGTTATTGCCGACAAAATGAAATCTCTATCATCGAACGTCATCGGCAGGAAGAACCTGAGTATGGTTCCGAAGGACGTGCACAAGACTCAAGACGACGAGGATGATGTGGATAACGAAGAAGAGGAGGAGGATGAAGACGATAGCGACGATTCGTCATCCTCTTGCGACAGCGATTCTTCATCGTGTTCCTCGTCATCGAGCGGCGAGACGTACGTGAATCGGACAATAGTCGAAGTCAAGGACGAAACGAGATACTCGCTGCGTTCTACCAGGCAGCAGAACAACGACGAGATCAAGAACATCATTTCCCAGGTGAACGTTAAGAACGAGTTGGTCAATGCATCGAACATGGACCACGTCAGCACGAAGCAGCAGGTCCTAAGGGAGTTGGATGAGAAGCGGCGCAGAACAATTGCGAAATTCAAGAACGAGAACACACCCAGTGCAGAGACGCGAAATCGAAAACTGCTGAAAACGAAAACCGAAACTCCGGTACAACAGAATTTGACGCCGAAGCGAGTCCTCAGATCTACAGTCAAGACGAAAGTGAAGAAGGAAGAGGTTATCGATACGGTGGAGCCGATGCAGTTGGTTGAAACGGAAATGCTGTGTTCGAATAGTTCGGGTTATTGTGATGACGAAGAAAACGGCAAAGACGATAAGGAAGCGGAGAAGCTGGTAACTGGTCTGAGGGAACGGGGAATTTATCTGATTCCCAACAAATTTGCGAAACGTAATGGAGTAGGAGGAGGAGTCGAGAGCGGTAAGAAGGATCACCAGGAAGTTTCGACGCACTCGTCCGATTTGAACAACTCGAATGAGGAGAACAAGATTAATGCACAGAACGTGCAGAAATCGAGCAACACCAGAAAGGAGGAGATGTACTCGTTTCTGTTCGGACCGGACGACAGCAAAGACTGTGAGAGTGAGATAATCAAAACAACAACAAATAAAGATGACAGTGGTAAGCAGCATCAAAATCGTCGTCGTCGTCCTAATCATCGAGTGGAAAACAGAACAAACGCAACAAAGGATGGCGTTAAAAAGAGCAACGGCACAAAGAGTGATAAATCGACGCAAGAAGGGCAGGTGAAGAGGGCACCTGCTAAAAGTGAGACGAATCGTAAAAAAGATTCTAAATCGCTGAAGGATAATCGGCGCAATTCAAAAACGACAAAATCGTCTGACAGTTTGCCGCCGCAACAGGAGAAGGACGTTGTCGAATCATCAGAAAAGAAGAAAACTGATTCGAAGTCGAGCAAGTCGGAAGAGGTGAAGAAAAGGAAAAAATCCGAAGAGGAAACGAACAAAGTCAGTAAATCTCAAGGGGAGAGCCAGATCCGCAAATCGGACGAAGAGACTAAGAAGATAGAAAAATCCGATGAAATTAAGATTATATGTGAATCGGAAACTAAAAGTAGTAGTGATAAAAATACGGAAATAACGACAGTAGTCAGTGAACAAGTGAATAAAGTTAAAGAAAGCGCAGATGATGTTACTACGAAAGACTTGAAATATGTGGATGCTGTGGATTGCTTAAAGAAATCCGAAGAAGACAAAGTGATGGACAGAACGAAAGAAAGTGAGGTAAAGAAGAAGATTCAATCGACGAATCTAAAGACTGAACATCAAATAAGCAAACAGGAGAAGGAAGGAGATCCGACAATTTCGAAAGGTGTTGTTTGTAACAGCGGTGATGCAAATGAAGGGAGCAAGGGCGTCAACGATGTTGAGAAATCAAAGAAGATAATGCTCAATGTTGATGCGGTGTCGAAGACTGACGATTCCAAAACTAAAGATGCAGCAACTAGGTGTGAAGTTTTTGTTATGAAGCAGCAGGAAGAGGATAATGAACCGTGGGAAGATGAATTCGATAGATCCCTCATGTGCATTGAAAATTTCGAATATCGTTATGTGGAATCCGATCCGCCCCATTTGCCGGATGTGCAACTGCCTTTGGATATTGACGAAACAGTAGAGATCGGTGTGCTGCTAGAAAATAACAGAATCGTGCCCATCAAGTTGCAAAAGGTGGGCGTTCGGGACTTTTGGCACGTTGCCCCGAAGCCACCCAATGCGCAGACGATGCCGAAGAAGCGAAAGAGGAATTTTATCGAAGTGCTCGGCGATGTCAGCGTGACGCCCGTCAGTAAGGTAGCGAAGGTCAAGGAGGAAATCAAGCAGACGACGACTGTCGATGAGGAATCGTCCAAGAAAAAGTAAAAGCAGATCGATAATGTAAATGTGCAATTCATTTTCTAATTTGTATTATTTTCATATATATTTCAGGTTCAGCAAGCATCAAAATATCGAAGACATTGTAGCCGATCTAAAGAAGCCAAAGACGGATTCTTGTCTGCTCAAGGAGGTGGACGTCGACAATTTCCTGGACAAATTGCACGGAGCATAGTGATGTGTGTGTGTGCGAATGGTGGAAAATAAGCTGCAACACTATGTACGAGTGTGCGTGTGTAATATTGTGTACCTGGAAAGCTATTTATTTTATTTTGTTAACTACTATTACGTTTTATTTCTTCCTTCATTGTACATTTCTATTGATAATCTGTATACTAACATTTATTTCAGACCCTTTGAATTTATATTGTATTTTATAAATATTACCTTTCAAAATGTAAATAATCCTTTAATAATGGAAAAAAGTGAAATGGAGGAAGACCTGTACATATTGTAGACTCCATTCTTTCTTATATGAAATAAAAACCATATGTTTATTATAAAACAATCTGTTCATGCTTTAAAAAATATTTATTAATTGGTTTGGTTGGGGGAGTGAGAGGGGAGGTTTGGTTGAAAATGAGAGTTCAAAAATTATATTTGAGACAGATTTTATTGCATAAATCTTCTGTCCATAATCACATCTGTATAAATATATATAAATACTTTTTAGCATATACGAATCATTATTATTTTAAATATTGAAAACAAAAAAGAAATATATAGAGAAATGGTTTTACAATCTTAATAGTTAACGCAAACTTAATTTGCATATAGTCTTGAAAGGGTATGATAGATGAACGGTGATAATGATGACGATGACCATTCATCACCGAATCGAACGCACTTTGTAATTGTTATTGCCGTTGCTTGATGCGGACATGTACTTCATGACTTTCGGTATGAGCTGGAGCTTCTCAAGCACGTGACTCGGTATGCAGACGGTTTCGGTGCAGTTGAACATCCTCCCATCCGGGTACACATATTGAGGGGCGTGCTTTCCGTCGAATCCCAGTTGCGAACCATCTGGGAAGTTCACGCGCACCTGTCCTTCAGGCAGCCGAACCGCCGTGCCAACGTCCGGTATGTTGACCACCTTGTTGTCACAGCCGGCCGCGCTTGTTTGCGTTGACGTGGGAACGGTACTGTTCGACATGGACATCGTGAAGGACGGCTGAACAAAATAATATTAGTGATGATGATGATGATTATCACATTCATTAATTGCACTTACGACAACGCTTTGCGCCACATGTTGGTTCTCCTTCCCGCTGGGTTTTCGGCCAACGACTATTGGAAAATTGCAAGGCCCCGGAATCTTGGAGAGCGTCTGCTCCAATAGGATGCAGTGATTGCGAGAGTCGCGGGCGTGCGTCCACATCAGCTCCAAACCGGAAGGCAGGTAACGGCATTGCTCCACCCCCTGAACTTTCCTGCTCGCACCGGAAGAATCGATCAGCGTCAGCTCATCGTTCGCGGACCACGTCACTTTACCACCTAATAATCATTGCAAATATTACAAATCTACATTCATATAAGAAGAAATCTCCTTAATATTAACCTTCGTAAAATGAAGCCTGAAAGTCGATGAGATTGTCCATCAGGATGCACTTCGCCTTGTCCGTATAGTAGGTGACTTTCGGCGTCTTCCCCCTGATCACCTCCACAAACTGGTACGCGTATATGTACTTCTTCCAGTGCTTCTTCGGAAGACCATCGAAGCTGAAAATCTGATCGGTTCCTTGAGGCGGCAGTTCGGGAGGCGTGGTTGCCGGTGGCACGCCCCGTCCACCGTTCGGCTCGTATATTATGATTCGCTCGCCGTCCGGTGATATCCGGCACACCTACAAAATTCAATATTATTATCATAAAGAAATTACATGTATCCTTCACGAGCTTTCACCTCGAAGACCATTTCCTTGGAGTAACCGAGCTGCTTCTTGATAAACTGTAAACAGATTTCTCCTCCATCCAAAATACTGAGAATTGCATTCTTGGTTTGATGATGGGTGGGCACCAACCTGTGAGAACTCAATTTGATTGGACCCTCTTTCTGCTTACGTTTGTTTGAGACAACAGGAGCAACATTCGCGAAACTTCCAAAAGCGCGGTTCTCCTGCAAGAACCTGGTCGGAGCTGCGGTCAATACACACTATTCAATTAAACAATCGATTTTTTTGTTTCTTGTTACCTTCATCGTTGAAGTTTCGTGAATACGTGGGTTTGCTGCTTGAGGAAATGGATGGAGGCAGAAGCATCTGATGATCGTTTCCTCCTCCGGGATCGGTGGGATGTCCGTAGACATTCATCATGTTCTGCTGCTGTAGATACGAACTGGCCTGCGATTGGATCTGCGACAAAAGTCCTCCTCCACTGGTCCCCCTTTGCTGATCCGATTGCCAGAGAGCATCCGCGGAGGAATACTTTTGCTGGTAATAATCGTTCTGATTGGCGCTGTGGGCGTTGTTCCCGTGAAACAGACCGTAATTTAAACAATCACTATTGGTTCGTCTCGTCTGCACATCGACTTGCATCCCGCTACTCAGAGCGCTGTTTCTGCGACTGGACATAGTCATTATACCGCTGTCTTGCGTTAAATGAGAAGTCATTCCACCCAGCATCATCTGAAATTGCCAAAATCAAATCGTATAAATATATACGAATAAAATAGCGACTCAGACTCACCCCTTGCTTCTTCATGAAAGGATGGTCGAGCATGATCATCAGATCGATGCGGTCTTTCGGGTTCTTCTGCAGCAGTCTGTGTATGAGATCCTTTGCTTCGCTGGAGAGATGCGCGGGCATTTCGTAGCTTGCCATAACGACCCTCGTCAAAGTGCTCTTCACAGCTTCCGAATCAAAGGGCGGTCGACCCACCAGTAAACTGTACAAGAGACAACCCAAACCCCAAACGTCCGCCTCCAAACCGTGAGATCCACGAGAAGCCACCTCCGGCGAAATGAAATTCGGTGTACCACACATGGTCATATGCTTTTCTTCCGGGGAGGCCAGCTTCGTCGCCAAACCAAAATCAGCTATTTTCTATAAACAAATCAATTTAAAACCAAATTCACAATCTCACAAAAACCACTCACGATTTGTCTGTCTTTGGTCAACAACAAATTTGAAAGAGACATGTCCCTGTGCAGTATGTTATGCCGATGCAAATACTGCAACCCTTCGACGACCTGCTGCATCACAACTCTCGCCTCATCCTCCGTCAGAACGTTATACTGAAATTACCAATATTAATAAACAAAAACCTTCAAAATGTTGTACTTTACCTCAGTGTTCTTCTTCAAGTACTGCTGCAGTTCCCCATTATGACAAAGCTCCAATACAAGATAGACATAATTGGCATCCTCGAAAGCTGTGTACAGTTCCAATATGGATGGGTGCTTCAGGCGGCTGTGAATCTCCACCTCCTGCAGTACCCTATCCACCATCCCAGCATCTTGCATCAATTTCTTGTCGATCTGCAAAAAATCCAATTAATTTCCAAATTCCAACTAATAATAATAGCAATATGTATTTACCATTTTTATAGCCACTTCTATCCCAGTCTTCAAACATCTTGATTTGTAAACGGAGGCGAATCCTCCACGTCCCAATAATGTCAAAACTGCGTAATCCTGAAGATGCNACGCAATGTAAATATTATGGTAAACTAACCTGAATTTTATTGCTGAACGAATTCATAGTTGTTTTTGCAGTCAAATTAACGCTTTGTCCAGTTCATCCGGGATCCCCTACATCCCTGTTTCTATCCAAAGGCGTTAGTTTAATTAACGACACGGACGAAAATCAATTAATTACTGGATTAATTTTCCAATTTCTTTCAAACTAAACCAAAACAACGACGCACACCACAAGAGACGCAAACAATAAATGACAGATGTCGCGACCGCAGCGCCATCTCTCGTGAACCAATACACACATATACAGAGTGATTACATTATTAATTATATATATATACAGAGTTGCTTTGCAATTTCTTAGCAATTTGTTTAGTTTATATGGAATCCCCTACATATACGTTAAATCGTTTTTTTTCTTCCTCCTGCATCTTCCCTCTTGGAAAAGCCAATACCATTTGTATAATGTGGTTGAATGTTTTAAGGATAGGTGGAGGTCGAATCGGGGTCTCGGCGATTCTGAAGAGATATTGGTATAAGTTAGTATAATTATTTTCTGTTATGTATTGTTATAGGGAAATATACGTTGCGAAAACAAAATAGACTAAGGCGACGAAGGCATGACCCACCGGTGGGTCATAAATAGTTTTGTCGCTATGCACGCCACTGATGTTGACCTGAAATATCTTACGTTAATTACAAAGCTGTATTGGCGTTTAAGCTTTGCAATTTCTTATACATCTTGAAGCAATTTTGAATAATACGTGATATTATGACATAATTTATGAATACTTTACAAAATAAACTGTGAGACAAAAACTGTATAAGAAAAGTTTAAGTTTGTAATTGACGTAAGATATTTGACTATTCTCTCAGTCCATAGGCGTCCATGAAAAATGTTCTCGCAGCAGGAAAACCGATTTGCGCCGTCCTTAAAGTGTTAAGTATGTCTGGGCGATTTCTATGGAAGTTGTCAGCTAAAGGTTCATTGCTAGAGATGGGCAGTAAATCAGTTAATTAGAGTATTTTTTAAAAAATATATAACTGACAGTTGTTGCGAACGCAGCGCCATCTCACACGAACTAATTATACATATATATAGGGTTGTTTATATTGCAATATACAGTGTGAACATCTTTTTAAATTTTAATTTAACTAACTAAAAACATCTTAAAGGTCAAAGAAAACGACCGTTGTAAGTGTCAGTTATATCACATTTATTTAATATTATTATCGTTATCTCCATGGATAAACTTCAAGCTAAGTGTCGAACCGAAATGTTGTCGGGATCCGAATTTGTTCGCCTATATAATTTCCGAGTGTGTTTCAGTCTTAAATACAATGTTATTTGTTATATTAAAATAAAAGATTTTCATTGAAAATACACAGCGAGGCCGCCACAACCTCAGTCTTCTTCACAATATTCATAAATAAATAATCTTTCTCTTTTTGCTTTTTCTTCTTCTTATTTTGACTTCTTCCATTTTTTTCTTCTTCTTCTTCATAAATATATAATAATAATAATCGCTTTACATAAACTTTCTTAAAACTTCAACCACTTAAATATCGTTTTTCTTTTTATATATATATATTTTGTTTAGAGAAACTTGTAAGTTCCAGTTTTCTTTTTACGTCGGTAGAGATATGCTAAAGTTACTAGTTCGCTAGTAGTAGTTGGTATCATACATATGTACAACAGGTGAAGAGATTCTATTGATTCGATTGGTTGTGATCCCAGTCCATGCCCTCGTAGAAACGCGGGTCACAGATTTTCATCGCAGCTCGCTTGTAGAAGTAATAATACGTTGGCGACACTGCAACACAAATAAAGAACAAAACAAAACGAAAAATAAAAAGGAAGATCGTATAATTCGTTTGTTTACTGCAGCTACTATGAATCCTACCTAATCTTTGTAGGATGAAGAAGGTAAGGAAAGGGGCCGACCAGTACGCGTCTAAGTTCGGTTCTGTCTCGGTGCATAGGATCCATATGTACAGGACCGTAGTGAGGATGAAATAGAAGATGCATATGTAAATCGTCAGGCGAAATTTGTCGTAGAGTAACTCGACGAGTCCGGCCTAAATAATAATTAATGTTGTATCAAATTGTTTAATCAAAAGTTTAAAATCAAATCACCTGAAATACGTAGGTGGAGAAGAACGAGAGCAGCAGCAACGATAGGGCCAAAATTAAGCAAGCGTCTTGGACTCTGCGGGAATAAAAATTTAACGTTTTTTTTTTTGTTGTCGTTTGCACTTTTCGTCTTTTCGTTTACATGAAGAATATCAGCAGAATCGAATGGTATTTCTTGTAGGAAATCGAGAACGTGTTGATGAGGACGTCGAACAGGATCAACACCACTTGTATTGCGAAGATCAGCTTGAACCTCTTCGGATTGATCTTCATCGTAGGCGTTTGCGGTCGTTAGTCTCTTAGTTTTCTAACTGACACTACTAACTCATGATTGAAGATGAGTTTTTTGTTGTTTTGTTTTCTTCTCTTTTTCTTCCCCTAATTCAGAACTAAATCACCGCCAACTAACCAACACACCACTCTAACAGATATCGATCCCGGATTTGACATTTAACGTGAACCGTGCAGAAGCGGAAAACTCGATATGCGGGACGCGCGTCGCGACGCCCGCACTTACTCTTATTACTACTACTACCACCACCACCATCACCATCGACACCCACGCGACAAATTCGACAACGTTGCGACGATCCAAATAAATCTCTTCGTTCACCTGGAGGACGTCTCTGAAACGCAAGCAATCCTCGTTTACTCTCCACACGCGGGGCGAACACAAATCGATCTGACAACAACGCAATTCCGTTTACGTCACATTTACGTCAGAGCGCTTTTGTTCTCGCAGCTCTACACACACACTTGATCACAATGCAAAAGTGCGCCAGCAAAACGCGGATTCTCTATTTTCGTACAGTCGATGGGACAATTGCATTATTTTATACATACACATCGATTTTATCAGACCCACAAAATATAATCGATAATCGAAATACAACTTTTCCACAAGATTCAACAAAATTTGTAAATTTTGAAAATTATATAAAACAAATTGCAATTTTATTCAATACTTTACAAATACAAACTAAACATTCACGTTGACAGTGACGTTTAATGTGTAAATATGGCTAAATTACATAACAACAAAAAAATAATCAATTTTTTTATGTAATCAAAATTATTGACAGTGACAGTCATCTAATTGAATCCAGTTGGAATTTTATTCTCCTTTGACAATTATTTAAATATTAGTACAAGTTAATATTGATCTATAGTTTCAATAGATTCGTTCCACCTTGCGAAGCCCTGGGTTCGGCCAATGCCAATTGTTATTAAAATTTTGTTGTTTTTGTTATGATCCTACTTGATATTTGAAGCGTAGTTGTGGTGCATCCTTCTTTCCTTATTCAATTCCCCAGTTCGAAGAATGACGAACCATTTCCATTGAAATGCCTTCATTCTTCACCTTCGTTCTTCTTCTTCTTCTTCAACACCCACTTCTTCTTCTCGTTGTAGTTATTGTTTGTTGTTGATGTACTTACGTATTTTCGTGCCGAGCCTCGCGACCTCACATTTCATCTCCGAAGAATCCGTAGCACCTAGAAAACGGCGAAACCTTGACATTTTTTCCCCCTTAACTAAAGCCATCATTATTACATGTAATTACACGTACGTCTCAAAAAAAAACGTTTCATTGCCCATCAACAGTTTTTCGAGCATGAACCGGTATCGCTCATTAAAAATAGAGAAAGAACAACAAGAAACATAACTAAAAAAAACTTTCCTTAAAACCTCGGAATCATCTCATCTTTTAGAAGACTGAAAAACAATTGCAATTTTAACGAATGTGCGTATTTGAATGAACCGTTTGGTTGATAAGATAACTTTCACATTTGAAAGTACCATCAAATTTGCGCAATCGACGTTCGCGAATTACAAGAAAAATATGAAACAACTAATGCATTTCAACAAAGAGAGAAGTCTCAAGTTGACAGTGACTTTTTGTTTCATTGATTGGTCTTACGACATAAAAAATTAAGCTAACATTAATTGCCATGTGATCTAAGAGAGATCTGTCAAGTTGACAGTGACGTTTATTATTATTTATCCGTAGTGAATATGGCTCATCGAATTTGCGCAATTGTCGTTCGCGAATTACAAATGAATACAAAGAAGAAGTAAAAAGGAAAATCCTGATGAACGATTCTTCGACTCATCGCAAATTACCCAACGCACCGCGACAATTCACGTAATTTACTTTTGTTCTTCGTTTTAGCTTTTACGATTTGCCAGTTGCAAACGTTTTCGTAAAATGTCACGCATTGAGTCAAGATTGGCCTGAAAATATTTATGTACATCTGTGCACGTGCAAAAAGAGACACAGAGAGAGAGAAAAAGATGAGAGGATCGGCACAATAGGATGTACGTAAGTACAGTTATGGGCAATTGATCGAAGGAAGCTAAAACAGTAGAAATAAATGAATTTTCGACCTAGATTTGTACAAGAAAAAAAACATATATCTATTAGAATGTATAGAGTCACGAAAATACGCAATACACGTTCTGTAATTACATGAATATTTTGCATTGAAATTGTTAATGTATGAATTAATTAAAAACGAATCGTCATTGATTTTTTTTTTATCCAAAACATATTAATCAATAATAATATTAAGTTTTGGTATCTTAACTATTTTAGAAAGCACACAGATAGAGGTGTAAGTTCAAATTATTATGTTCGTTGCGTTATTAGAAATATATTTATTAGAAATACAAAAAAAAATAGAATATAATAGAAGTTTATCATAATGGGATCAAGAAATCTAAAATGATTGATGGGAATATTCTAAGCGAAGAGGCAATGATTACGCAAGGATAAGTGGATTAGTGGATTAGTGGTGAAATGGAGACGAAGTGGGCGTCGGGTTGATTGTTATGCATTCATTTCTATTTCTTTTGTTTTTTTTTTGTTCTATTATCGTCTACGAAGTAAATAAACTTTAATTATTGCAACAATGACTTAATTACTTTGTTAATAGGAAACAAATAAAAACGATGGAAATCCATTAAATGCGCTATTAATAATGCATCAAGTAGTCTGGCTTTGCACTAATCATTCATTAGTTTTAATAGCGTTTAACGATCATCATTTGTTTGTTGACTGCAGTCAAAATTATATAAATAGAAAATGTGAATTTTTACAAGAATTGAGGATGAATTTCAATCTGGACGTGTTTGTTAACGCCGAGCAATTATGACGTTGTCGCAGAGGAAACGCGTGTCTCGCGGAGTATTCATTGCGTTGCGTAATTCAGGGTCGGATGAAACAATTCCTCCTAATTATTTCGTCCTAGCGATAAGGATCCAATCCGATTCTTTCTTTCGTTCCGAACGCTTTAACGGATCATCCTTGAGCTACGTTCTCGTCGTAATAAGCGGCGACGCATGCAGGATCCGGATAACCGTGGGATAATACAACCTTTGAAAAAAAAACTGTCAATTTGACGTTTAAAGAGAGAGAACTGTCAAATTGACTGTGACGTTTAGTTTGATTGACTCATCGTTGACAGTGACATTACGTTTCTAAGGCAACCAAGTGTTGTTGATTCGAATAATTGCACGAAACAGACTCCTTCGACGAAAAGCTACTCCGTTCGCGCGCGACTAAATAAATAATTGAAGAAAGGAAAGGTCGCGAGAGGTTAGGTGAAATTCAGGTCCACACGCCGTGTGTACGTAATGTGCACAATGTAACAACTACTACTACTACTGCATAATTTACACGACCGCCTTTTCTTCGCCGAATCCGCGAGACCTTTCGACCTTCCCCAAGGACAAGTCTTTCTTTCGTTGAAAAATCGTCTCGCAGCATCTTCGCACCATCATTCAAAAAATAAAAACAAACAAACAAAATAACCGTTTTACGTAACGGTTTCAACGCAGATGTTACACAATCCTCTTGCAATTGCGCTAGTTCTTTCTATTTCAATCAAATTTTCGTATTTTTGCACTGAAATTTGTGACGGTTCAGTGGAGATACCGTGCAGAATTCTCGATTTCGCCATTTGAATCGAAGCAAACTTTTTGGTCTGAATTCTCTTCGTGTTTAAAAAGTTCACGGCAACAATCTCTGTTCATGGATATGAGAAATAAATCTTTGGATGCGATACGATCTTCATCGTAAAAGTGTCTTTCATAAACACTTCTACGCCCCAACCCGAAGCGTAATAACTTCAACCTTATTGGAATCAAAATGCAAATTGCCGTATAAATCGCTCTCTCTCGTCTATCGATTTACAATCGATGTCCATCAAATAAAGTGCGCATTCTAGTGAAATGCTACCAACTAATTGAAGACATTCCAGCACGGAATTAATTGCAGAAATATGACAAAAAAAAAGAAGGTATTTTGCATTCTTTCTCGTACATTCTAATTAAATTCTGACATAAATTAATAAAGAAAAAAGGACAAGCAAATAAACTACACTTGAAATACACTAAATTGTTGTTAAAACAAACAAAAAAATCTGTTATAATTCAGATTCAGAATAAAACAATTAATACTAAGAAATCGCTGTTATATAACGAAGCAGTGGAGTTTGTAGAAGGAGTTTGTCACAAAAAAATTAAGAATTTGAATGGGTGTTCAAAAAAAAGAAGAGTGGAAGACGGAATGGAATTTCGAACTATAATAAATAATTTGAATATATAGATTTCGGAACAATGGAAAGTTCAAGCAGCGAATTCTAGATTTATGTTTGAATTGCAATTTTGTTTATGCAAATCAAGATATGAACAGAGAACTGTCAACTTGACAGTGTGACATTTTGATTAAATAATTCAAAACGCTCATTTTTTTCAATGCAATACAAAATCAAGTTGAGAACTGTCAAGTTGACACTGACATTGACACTGATCTGTTATGTAAGCAAAAGGAAAGATATAGTGGATTCCCATTCATAAGTTTTTAATTTGTGAAACTGTAAAATTTGTGATTTAATCAACAACAACAAAAAAAACAAACTTAATTTGCGTATTTCATATTATACATATTACACAAGAATTATGCGTTTCGCTGAACAATCGCACCTTTTTTCTGTCTGCCTCTGCAGGTAATCTTGTAATTAATCGTTTCCTTTCACCGGGTATGCAAAATCGTTGACAATAACTTTGCAGCAGCAGGAATAACATTGTTTTTCGTTTGCTGTGATCGTTATTGTTGTTGCTGCTGTTGCATCTATTTTTTGTTGTTTGTCGATTGTTTGCCTGTATTCCTTATTGGGAGCATAGTGGAAACAAAGGAGAGAATCGAAGAAGGCGATTGTTCGTGATTAACCCAGTTCGTATCGTATCCTGCCGTCGTATCCTTTTGTTTGTTGTTTTTTTTTTTTTGTACTAAGACGGGCGCAACAGCTGAAGTCGTTTTCCAGTCGATCGAGTTCTTGCAGGATGGCAGCAGGAAGCGGAAGTCTTCGATGCGATAATCGGGTTCGTGTTCTGATCGAGCATCGAAGTCTTTCCGAATACGTTCGTAATTTCGGGTGCTCCACTGTTATCGAGTGTGTGTGTTTGCAGAAGGAGGAGAAGGAGGAGCATCTCCTCGTGACCCGGTGACCTCCGTAGTCGCGCGGCGAACGTCGAGGATCAGTCAGCATCCACCAACGAAACCGATCGCACTCTTGACTTGGCGCACCGGAGTTTCGCTCTACTTGCACACCTCGACAACGAAATTTGCACATACACAGCAACCTTAACAAATTCTGAAGACGACGACAAGGAGGCAATAAGAAGAAAGGGCGATGGGAGGCCGTGATCGGTTCTCCGTGACACTCTGGGTGATGTGGTGCGCCCTTTACGTTTCTGCAGAACCTCAGGTAAGCAGAACACACTTCTTCATCCTGCATGACTTTATAATCCAGAAACACTTCTTCCTTCATAGAAAAATACGTAAATAAATAAATGGAATAAAGAAAGGAAAGCACATTTCATCACGAATTTCTTCCCAACTCGACCGCAGCAATTTCCATAATGCCATTATTCATCTTTATATAATCATCCACAATTCAATATTTGCACACCTCTTCAAGCCAAGTACACGAATCCACCTTTTTCATTTGCATTTCATTTAATATTTATCGGCGTATTTTTTTTTAACATTTTCACACACAAATTGTTCATTTTCTTTCTTAAAAATAAAGCACAAATTATTTTTTATTATGTAATTCAAAAACAACAAACAAATGTCAACTTGACAGTGACGCAAAGTATCAATGGAAAGCTACAG